ATCCTATAAGTACGGCCTTTAAACTTGACAGATGAAGGAGGCGAAAAGGGAGGGGGTTCGAGGGGATGGTATACAAAGGGGAAGCCTGTACAGCTTGAGTTTTAAATTGAGCGTCTATTTCTTTGCATAGCAACCAGTGTCAGAATTAGTATTGATATATACTGCTTAGCGGAAACACTATATTACAAAGAAGGGGGGGGGGCTAAGCCGGGGATGCGCAGATCCCTGCAGATCCCATGCCATGGACCCCGCGATTAAGGGCGGGGGGCAATCTTGCAGTCGATCTTTTGAAACAAAAATGTTCAGTTTCCTTTTGAAACTCAGAGGGCGTTAATTTAAAAAAGATGGTACATTCGTCGAGGGTGTCCCCCCCCCCATATTCTTATGGGGCGATCCCCCCCCCGGGCAAAGATTCTTGGTGCAGGGGGTGCAGGCCCGTAGCCAGAGGAGGTGCGAGGGGTCAGACATATACACCCCCGACTTTCTGCTAAAATGGGGGTGCACCAACGAAATGCATCCCCACCACATTTTAAATAAGTTGCAATAAAAATTGAGATATTAATTATTTAAAGTTTTCACAAATAATTGTCCATGTCTGCATATACTGTATAGTGTTATAGTGCATAATAGTGTTTATTACTATATCGTCAAAAACAATTGTTATATATAATAGTCCCCTAGAAGTTCCCTATAGCATTGCAGTCTTTAGCAGTCTTATGTAATTCATCCCTTATAGTCATATTTGCAGTCTACTATATAGTCCTTTAAATGTAGGTCTGTGCAGTCCTAATTAAATTAAGTAGTTCCTATAGTGGTGGTACTAATTTAAGACTATATTTAGCTGTCATAATCCACAGTCTTAATCCGATCGAAGTTTGTCAGTAAGGGGCTGTTTTCCTCTTATAGTCTTCAAAAGTCCTAATATTCCGATATAATAATTATTATATTTCTTGTTATTCTTCTTAGATTGGTAGGTTTTGTGTAAGTTGTATAACCTTAAATAGTATATGTATTGTAATACTCATTAGAAGTAACAATAGATACAGTTTTTTTGAGAGGATAAATAAAGAATGACTGACCTGTTTTAACTCGAAAACAAGAAAATTGTTACAGAAATCTATAAGAAATTATGCGCGCAGCGCCAAAGACAATTATGTTGGTATTGTTTTCTTAATTGACGAAATTTGATAAAAAATGGTCCACAATCATGATCATGCTGGAGTCAAGTGAGGGAGGGGCGTGAGGGGGACGAAATATGCTGAGGGGGGGGAGGGGTTAGAAATTTCAGTCCCCTCTTGAAACTGAAGTAATTGACAACAAATAGAGCGCAATATTTTTCCTTTTAAATCTGTAAACATCCAACTCAGAGGGCGTTTAAATTAAGGACGTTACAGTAGGGGCGCCCCCCCCCCTTGAATCTTTGGCGTGATTAATTCCCCCCACCCCCAAAACGATTCAATGGGGTTGGGGGGTTGGGGGGGATTGAGGCCCTCACTATAGGGTATAATTCAAAGTGTCCATTTCTTTGAACTTAATTCTCTATCTGATGATTTAGATGATTACCATGAAAGGAGAAGTGTATCCAAGCATTTTTTGGCGCTTTGCGGATCATTGCAAAATGTCGGTACTAATTTCTCATTTTAAACTTAATAAAAGCATGTACAGACTATACAGAGTATCCCCCTTAGCTGTCTAACCAGAGCTGGGAACGTTTGAATGGTGGATATCGGGATTAATACTTGATCCACTCTTTTTCTTAATCTCAAGATTAAATATTGCTTTTCTCCTTTTTTATTAATCTCATGATTAATTAACCAATCGGGATTAAGGATATCACAATCTTAAGTTTTCAGCTCAGTTCACACCCTATACGCCTCTCAACAAAAAGTTGTGTAAATAAATTCTGACCATTCAGATAAGTTTTACCAAATATTCGATAAATGCTGTGACATGTTTGCTTCAGAGTGTACGTGGGACAGTGGGGGTCACACCTCTGTCCCAGCCTAAGATAGCTCCAGGCCTCCCTTGAGATTTTAGGTCAACGTTTTAATTTGAAAAAACTTTGGTTTTTGAAAAAAATCGATTTTTGAAAAAACTAATTTCGAATATTGATATCGCCGGGCCGGCCATTATTTTACAAATCAAAGGAATTTTTGCAATTTCATGTACAATGCATTGCTCATCAGAAGACAGTGGAATAATATTTAGAAAAGACGACATTTATTCCACTGTTTTTTGGTTTACTTTTTTATGATATGATTTACTATGTAATTAGATTTAAGAGACCGCATCGTTGTTATTTCATGTGAACCTCCATTTACAGAAATGCTTTTCCGATTCACTTCGGTTCATAGAAAACCCACAATTAAAAATAATTAATTTTTAATCAAAAACCTCGGATATTCATACATTGGTTCTTAATCATTGGAAACCTTAAAGGGCCCTGTTGTGAATATATTAAATAGATATTTAAAAAATATATGGACATGATAAGATAAATTGATATTTTGTTAATAAATGAATATTTATTTTTACTATTTGAATACATACATCCTTATACATACTTAACAAATGGAAATTATGGTTAGTTTACAAATTGGTTAATCTTAGTATCATAGATATGTGATGAATTAATCTTACTGATTTATCTAATTAAAGGAAATGTCTGCGTAATTTCAAAGACGACAATGCCCAATTTACATCAGTATCCTTTCATTTATTATCTGATCAATGTGGTGAAATATATTGTTGTTTTCTAATTTAAAAAATGCTTAATTCTGAAACATCCTATAAGGGTTTCTGCACTTCAGAGAGAAACAATTCAATTGAAAATAATCAGTTTTAAAATAATAAACATTGTTTATGTTGTTGTTGTGAAGCGGGCTTTACCTTTATCTTTGCATAATTGTTCACTTGAAACTGGCTACAGTTCCTTTATTATCAATCCTGAGGCCGCATTTAAAGAATTTGAGCCGCGGATTAAATTTAAGCTGCGGCTCAAATATGGCCACTTAAAGTAGTATTTATTGCTTCAAGATTTAAGCCTGCGCTCAATTAAAACCGATTTTTGGCGGATTTAAGACGCGGCTCAAATTAATTAAATTCGGATGCACTAATGAATAAGACAGGCGACAAACATCCAAAACATGTTTTAGATTTGAATTTTTAATCATGCAATTCAGATAAAATTTCAGCCAGTTTAATAAATAACTTCTATATAATGCCCTTTTTAAATATCTAACCATGTATACAGTACATTGTACATGATAAATCAAACACACAGAAATTACTTTGTTTTATGTGACCTTTTTCTTTGAGTTATATTTAAAACTCTGAATATAGGGGAAGGGGGGGGGAAGGTCTTATTGCATAAGATCCTTTTTAAAAACAAAATAATTATGTTTAATTTTTTTTCTTTAGATTGCTCTTATTTTTAAAATGAAAAAAAGTGATTTACAGAATTTTATTTCTATTCCAGCATTTGAACCATTTAAGCTGAAATCTTAAAAGGACTTCCAAGGGACGAACCATTTAAGCTGAAATCTTAAAAGGTACGTCCAAGGGACGTGTCTGTCCTCCAAGGGACCCACAGTTAAAGAAAGGTATGTCCGATTAAAAACGGTACACTTTCTAACTAATGTCGAAGACATATGTCGTAGATTTCTAGCTTGAGAAGTGTTAAATCTCACAATTCCTCTATTGCTTTAGAGTAGAAATCACAATTAAAAATAACAATCTTTTTAGTTAAAAACATTCATTCGTTATCATACAAAATTTTTAAAGGGAGTGAGTGACCGGCAATGTATGGGGGTTGAACTGCAGATTGCAGTATTGTAGAGATATTTTTTTAGGATTCATTTGAAACATATAAAACGTTTTAAAGATCTATAATTAATGATTTTGAGCGCAAAGTCATCGTTCTAAATCATCAATTTGGGTGGGTACGTTTAAAAAAAACGTTTTTATTTTAATTATTAAATTACGACGACAAAAAATGTAACAAAAATGCTACTTTAAGTTGATTAAACTCAGTAATTTTAGATCTTTAAAACGTTTTATATGTCTCAAATGAATCCTAAAAAATGTCTACACAATACTGCAATATCAGTTCAGCCACCATACATTGCCGGCCACTCCCTTATCGTACAATTCGCTCTATAAATGGAGCTGGGTCACTTTATATTAAATATCTTTTAAAGAGCTAGATTTTTAAAGTCATGCTTTAGATTTTTATTCAATAGTCAGCTCAGATACGACATTCAAAACATTATTAAATTTAAGAAACTGATTACTCGCCTCAGAAGACTCTTGTAATCTCTATATCTTTGCAACCTGCAGGTTTAAAACCTGTGATATTTCAAACTTTGACTTTCTGATTGAGCAGAATTAACAGTTTGAAATCTGTTTGGTTTAAAATCAGAGTGCAAAGATGTAATTAAAGTTAGAGACGAATTATCAGTTTGTTTTGACATGACAAAAAGTTGTAATTAAAGCTTATTTAGTTGAAAAGTGGAACTTTTGCTGCTTTCATGGAGGTGCTAGCTGCTGATGGAGCAACATCCTGTACATACCATCAGCCATTGTTTACATCTAGCCCTTGGCTCAGTACATTTAGCCCTTGCAGTACATTACACAATTTTCACACAATATACTTTCAGGGGTATTCCTGGATTTTTCAATTCTCAAACTCTTGTTTTTGATAATTCGTGCAGGGCTTTCGGTTGAATACAAATAGCGTTTAAATCATTTTAAACAATAAAACTCTTTTAGGTTGCCTTTTATTTTATTATATACCAGCTGAAGGGCGCCGTGGAAAAATTTTTTTTTAAAAAATTAAGAATAATTTTTTCAGCGTATGTCACCCCCAGGCTACACATGAGTGTCCACAAAAAAATCAGCCCATTCGGTTCTGCCGTTTGGCCGGCCAGAGGGAACATCTATACGAATGTCTTGTTTTTTATAGATAAGTCCCAAGAAAAATTTAACATTTTGGGGGACTGACAGAAACTGCAAAAATAACCAAATGTCTCATTTTTGGAATACCTAGACAAAAATCAAGAAAAATTTTTTTTTTTTTTTTTCGGAACTCATGGTATTTCCTTGAAGGAAGTAACATTTTTCCCAACTTCGTCGCCAAATGGATTTTCTTCATCACCATCCTCCTGAAATATTATAGGAACTGTAGATGTGATTTTAAGTAACTTTCCATTAACAAAGTGACATGTCTAATTCACAATGGCACCTTTAAACCTTTCTCTAGGCACACGGGCAGCCGTAGTACATTTGAATTTCCGAGCCGGGTCAACCTTTCCGGTCCCAGTTTGTACTTTATCGCCTGGACATTGGGTAAATAAAACAGCCACTCAATGGGACTAGCCGGCGTAACACGGTTGACGCAGTCAGACTTTAGGTTGAATTTACTTTTACTAAAGGGTCAGGTGCGTGGGCAATAGTGATGAAAATATTTTAATTTTTTATCTAAAAACTTTCTAATTTTTAGTTATAGGTTTGGTTTAAAAATTAAAAGTAACCTGCGAAATAACATAATTCTAAGAATTCAACACTATATATGAAGATGAAAAACTACGAAACTTTTTGATACAATTTATCAAGGGTACCGTTGTGAATCATGCATGCTTCTGAACAAATGAAATATTTATTCTTTTATTTGTAATGATTCTAACATTGATGCATGTAATACAATTTGTGAATTTGGTATGTCCGACATTTTTAAATTTTATTATTTTATTCAAAAATAAACAAATTTAGGATATTGATATGATATGACTTATGATTCCAAACACAATAAGCCATTTCTCAACAATTGAGGGGGGAGGGGTGTTGGGTACCATCTTAAATATTTGATACCCCCACCCCCTTCCTCCCCTCATATAACAATCTTAAAGTTACGCCTTATTGAGTTTTCTTACTTACAGAGCGTCCCATATCATATTAGATTATCTCCAATCTTTAACACCATAATAAACCCTTAATACTTGAAAAACTTTTCATTTTCCGCAAGAAAATTCTTATATAAGCCTTATGTTATTTTTCAAAATGATTTATTCTACTGAAATTTTCTAATTAGTCCCGAAAATCGTAATTTAGACCCGTTCTCGGTACAATCGTTTTAGGGTTGTATTTTTCTGCTCAAATACAAAATTCTTAGGACAAGGAATTAAAAAAGGCTCCCAAAGGGGCCAGGAGGGGAGGCTCATGGGGCCGTGGGATAAGGGGATACATTAGACTAAACCATGTATTTTATATGTAGATATTTAGAAAACAAAGACACTCGAGTTTCATGGAAGAATATAATTTAATTAAGAGTTTATTCAGAATCTGGATTAAATCTTTTCAAATTTCCGTAACTAAAGATTTATGCAACAATTTTAACACATTCGTCGCAAAAATATTGTGTAATGTCAAAATGTGTTACGTGCAGGATACAGCTTATTTAACATGTTATGTGTAACAAACTTAAAATGAAAAACACGTTATATCTATATATATTACCTTGATCTATATGTAGATATATACTAATTACTATTACTAGACATAAAAACGTATACACCGACCGGGCCCAATTTTTTTTATGGCATGGCAGCTATAATTGCTAATCGAAAATCCCTTTTAAAAATATTTTACGCAGTTATAGTAAATTAATCTGATAAAAACACTTGTGAGTTTGTGCGTCATATTTGAACACAAATATTTCTATGCTTTTCAAACCAAATATAGACACTAATAAAATTTAAAGGGTCTCTCTAACAAAATGATTTTTTTATGAAATGTATTTCTCTATAAAATATATGATCTAAATTGATATTTTTAAAAATTTTATATTGAAAGTTGAATCGATTTTAGGGGAGGGTATGGGGAAGGGGGGGGGGGNATAATTTATGTTATTTTTTAGGAAATAAAGATTTTGTTATCGAATTTCTGAGACGGGGTTACTCTGTTGTGTGTGTATTTGTGCGGCCTATCGGGAAAGAATTGTCTGGGGATAATAAACATCCCCCACCAGAATCCTAACCGGCCTATTATCCTGATTTGTCTAGCGTGTTGCTGTTTTCCGTCAACAAATATATATATTTCAAACTACATAATGTTGCACAAGAGTGCATTTATATCCAGGGCGAGTCAAAAAAAGTGTGATTTGCGGCGCCTTGTGCAAATTTGTACCTTTTTTTTGTGCAACTCTCCTGTATGGTGTCTTTTCAATATTTTTTGAAAATTGTAATTTCTTTTTGGTACTCCAATGGCCCAAAAGAAAATCAACGAATCTTTTTTTTTCTCTCAAATCAAAAGTTCAGAAAAGCAAAAATTTGCATTCATATTATTTCTCAGAATCTCAGAAAATTGGCAAAATTATAATAAGAAAATTCGCAATTTCCAGTTCTGGGCTAATTTTTAAGGAAAAGTTATTTAAATTCTCTAGTTCCTTTCTTCTTAGTATATTCTAAAGTATTAAATATACGCTGTTCAGTTGAAACCTTGAGAACCATTGAAAAACAATTTTTCCGTACCAGAACTGAAAATTGCGAATTTTCTAATCACAATTTTGCAAATTTTCTGAGATTCTGTGATTCCATTTTTTTTAAATTTTAGATTTCGATAGAAACAAATTATTTAAACATTTTTGTTTTTCTAAACTTTTGATTTTGAAAGAAAAAAAGGTTCGCGGATTTTTTTTTGGGCCATTAAAGTACCAAAAAAACAAAATTTTTCAAAAAATATTAAAAAAAAAACAACATACAGAAGAGTTGCACAAAAAAATTACATTTTTGCACCAGGCGCCGCAAATCACACTTTTTTTTTGACTCACCCTGATAATTGATAGAATCGATGATGTAATATTTAAAAAAATATTGGTGTAAAATGTATGGATTAAAACAACTGTTTTATTTGATATCGTTAAACATATTTTAAAGCACCATTCTATATCAATTTATGGTTATGTTTTAATTAAATAATAGTTCAGTTTCTCATTTCTTCATTAAAAGAAAGCGCTGATAACAGGTGATTTAAAAAAATAATACTGCATTTTGCTCAAATTTAGAAATAAATATTAATGTATTATGCTCATTTTATTTATTTTCAAAATAAACTTTTTTCTAAACATCATCATGAAAAGTTAGCAATCATTAAATACTTTATTTTATGAAATTGTCAATGCACTTTTATTTTGAGGAATTTATTGAAGCCACTTAATTATCACTCATTTGCGCATAGGGAATTGTAACACTTCTGCCTCCATCTACTGCTAGTGTTTGACCGGTAATAAAAGATGCATCAGCTGAAGCTAAGAATGCAATTGCTGTAGCTACCTCCCCCACCTGACCAACTCGTCCAAGTGGATGCATTTTCTTACCAGCTTCATAATAAGCTTGGACTTCATCTTTGGTTAGACCGGAGTCTTTGAAAATGTCTGTTTCAATTACGCCTGGGTTAACAGAGTTAACTCTAACACCCTTACCAGCAACTTCAAGGGCAAGGCATCTTGTGAATTGATCAAGAGCAGCTTTGGACATCTTGTATGCCATTGAACCTGGATAGGCTCTAAGACCCGCTATGCTTGAAACATTAACAACGCTTCCTGAAACTGCTTCAAGGTATGGCATGCTGATCTGGCATATCTTTACTGTTGCATTAACATGTAGATTCATTGACTGATTAATCTCTAACATTGATACTTTCTCGAAGTCAGATCTATGTAGAATGCCAGCATTGTTGATGAGAACACTTAGACCTCCAAAATGTTTAACCGCTTCATGAACTGCTGTGGCGCATTCATCTTCAACAGCAAGATCATGAACACAAACAAGTACTCCAGAACTACCAGCTTCCAAACAGGATTGGGCAACATTCTCCAGCTTCTCTTTACTTCTAGCCACTAGAGCCAGCTTAGCTCCTAATCCTGCTAGATACAAGGCAGTCCCAGCTCCTATTCCTGAGCTGGCTCCTGTTATAAGGACTATCTGCTCCTTCCAGTTAAACATGTTACTAGAGAGAGCTGAAGTAGCAACTGAACCACTGTTGAAGGACCGGAGCAAAAAATTGCATATAAAAAAAATTAGTGACAAGAAATGTGCAGTTTGCTTTATGAAGGAAACACACACCAACATTTGGTTTTCATATAGCTTCAGATTTAAGTAACCCCTCCCTATTACAGAGATTTTTTTATTTGAAACCCCCCTGGCCTTCCCCCTCACCTCCCGGGCCCTTCTCCTAAGCCAGGGTTGCACTTTGTGGAGCGGGTGTTGTATCGTGATAATGTTAAATTTGACATCAATTTATCAAATTTAAAACAGAGACATATTGAAAGATAAAATAAACAAAGGGGCGTTTTCTAATATTTTAAAAGTTATGTTAAATCTTTATTCAAAAGTGTTTAGGCCAGCTATAAAAACATTACTTACTTTTAAATCATGTATTAGCATCACAACTTTATTGTTAAAGATATGTTTTTGCTTCAGAGAAAAGCGCTTTTTCTACAATGTTTTTTTTTTTGATTTTTTCATCTCTTCTGTGGCAGTGCTGCATGTACAAACATGAATTGTTTATGTACATTTATTGTACAAACATTAATTTTACATGGACTATATATGTACAATAAATGTGAATGGAGGATTATCGTTAATAGAAGTGCTATGCTGATAAATCAATGGAGTAAAAGACAAATTTCTATGACTGCTTGAAATACAGTAGACGACGACATCTACATTTACCTTAAATAAAGTAAAAGACTACATCTATATTTACCTGGATTAAAGTAAACAACGACTTAACTACATTTTTCTGGAATACAGTAAACGACGACATCTATATTTACCTGGAATACAGTAAACGACGACATCTATATTTACCTGGAATACAGCTGCCCCAGCTACATCTATTCCCATCTTACTCACACTTTCATAACCAAACCTTTCCCGGCGACGGTCAATATTCTTCCTAAAAGAAAAAAACATGTCTAAATACAAATTCAAAGAGTTTAGAGAGTTAATCATACCGAGTTAAATTTATTCATTTATATGCAAGCACACTTTACAACTTCAAAAAAAAAATTTAAACCAAAAACAAATGTTTAATCAAACATTTTGTTTGTAATTCATATAAAATAACCACTAAATGAAAAAGATATACCTATTTTTACTATTCAGGATTCTCAATGGTTAAAGCTTGACATGGCTATGGTAATCTCTTATCAATTTGCTTTAATAAAGTTTTTTTTTCTATTCGGAACCTTTTAGAACTAAATGATTTGCATTTTATAAAAAAATGCCAATTATGCCAAGTTCCCGGTACTTACAAAAATAGAGATTTGCAGTGTACTGTGTGCACCAGACAAGCTATGCCCGAAATTTAAAAGAGTATCGTTGAACAAAATTCTCGAGTTTCCTTTTTGGGGTCTTAACATTTTATAGATTTTGATTTAAGAGATTCCAAAAAAATTGAGAATATAAAGAAACTAAAAATATTGATATCCACAAAAACTGGTTTCCAAAACAATATCCTGTCTTAAGTTTTGGGCTCTGTACAAAACTGTACAATTTTAGAAAAATTGTGGTTGCTTGTGTCTAGTGGCATAAACTAAGTTAGTAAAGTACCTCAATTGTATATGAGAATCTTTAAATCATTTTATAATAATTTGCACAAATATTTGATTTCTAAAAAAGTGTAAAAAGTAGAGTAAAGTGCGCTTTAAAATAATTATTATGGGAGCTTAATTTGTGATTATTTATTAAAAATAAAGTATGTGAAATAAGCTTTATGTTCTTATAATTGCAAACATTTACCAAATTTTGAAATAGACCTTTTATCTTGACTTTTTTACTAAAGATTTAACTTTCACACTTTTATGTCAAAAAAAAAACAGTGTAAAAACTCCAAGATATGCATAAGCTCAAAGTGATAATTGCAAATTAATTATATGACTAAAATTTTGAAAACTTTAATATCTTTATTCTGCAAGTTTCTGTACTTTAAATAAAGGCATATTAATAAGGTACTGTACACGTAATGTTAAGTAAACCTCAAATAACAGAGTGACATGTCGTATTCACAAAGATACTCTTAAAAGTATTATCTAAAATCAAGTTTAAATTATAAATCCATATTTTTGTTTTGAAATTTTTTTTTTTTCATTTATAGTTTTTTTTTTGAAAAAGTGACTTGAGCATTTCTTGCTTTAGAAACAATAGAGAAATTATCAGAATGAATAATTAATGTTTCAATGGAACCGTTGAGACTCAAGCATGCCAATCTTGGTATGGATGGTCACAAAAAATTACGTTATTAGTCTCTTTAAGTTTATGAAATTGATCAAGTTTGATATTCTTTTATTTGCTTTTCTATTTATTTCTATAAGCTCAGCTAGTTCTTATCAGTTTACAGTCTTATGACTCAACAAACACATGAAAGAGCCAGTAATAAAATAAATATTTGATCTGGTATGCACGATTCACGATATAGCAAACCAGAAGACGTACCTATGAGTGATCTTCATCTCAATAATTTCTTCTATTTCTTCCAACTTCTCTTTTGATAGAAACTGTTTCATGACAAGACATTTTTTGCCATCACTGTTCCTCTCACTGTAATAATGATAATAATAAAAATAATAATGATAATAACAATGATAATAATGATACAATTATATTTTTGACCTGTACAGATCTTGCTGCCGAAGTCTTTCCGCTGGAGGAATTCCGCGTTCCACAATTAGAACTGTTCTAGCCCACTGTACAGATCATAAAGATTAATAAATATTCATGTACTTTCTAATTTCTATGTACATCAAAAAAAAGCATGTATTATTGGAATTTCCTTATTCTTAATTGGTAAATTTGTCCCAAAAGTTGTGTGGTTTATTTAAAATCAGAGGGTAAACCTGTCTCATCCATTCGTTCTTGATTTCCGCAATCTTTGCATATGTGTCTCCCATCATAGCAATCAACAGATTCAGGAGTAGTATCACAACTATAATAATAGAAATCAATAGATTCAGGAGTAGTATCACAACTATAATAGTAGAAAACAATAGATTCAGGCCTAGTATCACAACTATAATAATAGAAATCAACAGATTCAGGAGTAGTATCACAACTATAATAATAGAAATCAATAGATTCAGGAGTAGTATCACAACTATAATAATAGAAATCAATAGATTCAGGAGTATTATCACAACTATTATCATAGCTGCAATCAATAGAGTCAGGAGTAGTATCACAACTATTATCATAGCTGCAATCAATAGAGTCAGGAGTATTATCATAACCATTCAGCTTGATACGCATTTCATTATGCATTATTAAGTGTTTATAGTTACCTATCATAATGAAGATAAAGAAGTGAATTTTTCCAATATATTCGTGACTTGTAAAAGGAACTCCATCCCAGATAAATCCAGTATCCCCTGAATATACACCAGATAAATCCAGTATCCCCTGAATATACACCAGATAAATCCAGTATCCCCTGAATATACACCAAATAAATCCAGTATCCCCTGAAAATAAACCAGATAAATCCAGTATCCCCTGAATATACACCAGATAAATCCAGTATCCCCTGAATATACACCAGATAAATCCAGTATCCCCTGAATATACACCAGATAAATCCAGTATCCTCTGAATATACACCATATAAATCCAGTATCCCATGAAAATAAACCAAATAAATCCAGTATCCCCTGAAAATAAACCAGATAAATCCAGTATCCCCTAAAAATAAACCAGATAAATCCAGTATCCCCTGAAAATAAACCAGATATATCCAGTTTCCCTTGAATATACACCAGATAAATCCAGTATCCCCTGAATATACACCAGATAAATCCAGTATCCCCTGAATATAAACCAGATATATCCAGTATCCCCTGAAAATAAACCAGATATATCCAGTATCCCCTGAAAATAAACCAAATAAATCCAGTATCCCCTGAAAATAAACCAAATAAATCTAGTATCCCCTGAAAATGAACCAGATAAATCCAGTATCCCGGCCCTGAATAACAACCATATACATCCAGTATCCCTTGAATAACAACCAGATAGATACAAGATACAGTATTTAAGCTGAATATAAACCATACGAAAACTATTCCCTTTGGATTTGGACAAGCTAAATCCAGTATTCTCTTAACATAAAACATATCTAACCGGTATCTCCAGTATCTCCTAGAATATATTTTAATTTCTCCACACCGAGCAAGGGTTGTATCAGGATTTAAGAAAGAGGTATTTTACCCCACTCTAAGTTGCATAGAATACTGCACATTACATAAACCCCCCCACCCACCCGGGAACCTGTCTTGCAAAGAAAACCTAAAAAAACCCAAAAAAGGTGTAAATTACAATTAATCCCCTTTTCTCCTATTCTGTAATGGAAAAAATTCTTTAATTCCCCCCCCCCTTCTTGCTATTTTTTAGGGGGATTTAACCGTTTCCCCCATCCCCTTAACCCTATTCCTGCTGGGGGGGGGGGCCAATTTGACCCTCCCCTGTAACTTTTTTTACATAACTCAAAAAGTATTGGTCTGAGGCTGCTGAAATTTTCTGACTTTTCCTACATACCCAAAGCCCTCCCTTAAGGCCTAAAACCGGGCTTTAATACTAACTGCCTGAGTCCTGAATGACTGCTTTTGCCTGTAACAAACTAAATCTTTGTTTGATCCCCACTTTTACTTGTCAGATTTTGATAAAATTTAGCTTTTTGGAAAGCCTATGACATAAGGAAACGGATTGCACAAGTTTTGAAAAAAAATTGCAAGTTTTTTGCAAACAACCTGTCAAAGGAAATTTGCACATTTTTAGTTTTTCTTGATTAAAAATCAGGTTATTTAAAATTTTGCAAAATTTTTGCATATTTGAAATGGCATTGTTAAGGGCTTTTCAAAAATGTATAATTTTTCATTTTTTGGAAAAAATTTTTTTTGCAAACATTTTTACTATATAACTGGATTTTGCGATAAAAAATTCAATTTTTGCAAATTTGCAATTTTTTTGCAGATTATAAAAGTAGAGCACAATAGCTTTCTAATGATGTATCATTTGTCATATTTGGACATAAAACATGGGATTTAGAGGGGGAGGGGTCAAATTGACCCCCCCCCCACAGCATATCCTGGTTTTCAAGTACCCCAGCAGGGATAGGGTTAAGGAGCCTGCTCTGTATTTTAAATACTGCTTTCATGTACCGTTTTTCTAAAATATAGCGCAGAATAAAATAATACAACTTACTCTGCCCCCACCCCAACTTCCTTATTTTACTCAGGGAGGGGAATTGACTGCTTCACCCCCTTCAAAAGGAAAATTGGGGGGACGCCCCCCCCCTGGAAAAAATAGGAGCGCAATTGAAGAGAGAGCAGGCACCTTCTAGTCCTTTAATTTTGATTTTAAATTTGATTGCCAGCGGGAGAATTTTTTTACTCAAATTAATATTTTTTATAAAATTTTCAAAAACGTATATATTTAACCTAAATTGGAAAAATTACAACTAAATGACGGGTTTGGTTTATTTTACAATATTGAATTTACTGCATTTAATCGAATTCCTCCCGGATAAAGTGTAAATTAACTCCAGGAATGGAATTATTTAAATAACAATATTTTAAGGAGCAATGTATCATAGCTTGACAACACTTGAAGAACCAGGCTAAACTAAATTTAAATTTCCCTCTACAGAACTCATGTACATCGCATGTACTCAATGGCATAAGAACAGCCAATGTTCACAACCAACCTAGGTAACAGCTATAAGTTTTGAATACATTTTAAACATCTCTGTACATTTATATCAGGCAAGTTGAGAAATGTCGTCTTATGTGCAATTTATCTTTATCTATGATATAAACCAGATAGATCCAGTATCCCCTTAATATTAACCAGATAAATCCAGTATTCTCTGAATATAAACCAGATAGATCCAGTATTCTCTGAATATAATCAGATAAATCCAGTATTCTCTGAATATAAACGAGATAGATCCAGTATCCCTTGAATATACACCAGATAAACAGTATTCTCTTATTATACCCCAGATAGATCCACTATCCCCTGAATATAAACGAGATAGATCCAGTATCCCTTGAATATAAACCAGATAAATCCAGTATTCTCTGAATGTAAACCAGATAAATCCAGTATCCCTTGAATATAAACCAGATGAATTTATTTAGATTAATGTTATTTATTGTTACCTAACGACATTAAGAAAACAGCTAGAATAGATTCAACTGCATTAGGCATTGGATGAGGCTCCTCTGAGTTTTTGTAGCTTTGAAACACAATATAATAGGCCTGAAAAATGCATACTTTACTGTTCATTTTGAGGTCTGAGAAATATTATAGGTTTTAAACTACCTGAGAAAATCCCATGACAAAAATGAAGAACACGGACCCGAAGCGGACAATGTCCTAAATAATTGAAAAATTAAAAATCATTACATTTATGAGAGAAAAATCATACAACCTTTAATTGAATTTTACTTGTATTTGGAAATAGAAATTAATATTAAATTAACGTTGTTTGCCTAGATACAATACAGGGTGTCCCAAAAAACATGGGAATTCAGTGACGAATAGTATATCGTCTTTGCTATGAATTAGCATTGTAATACCTAATTTCAAAACCCATTATATTATTACGTCTGCTAAAGTTTATTTTATGAAAAGGGTAAAAGACTGTAAAGATCTGTCTATTATGTCTCCGCAAGATGAACAGTGAAGGTGGACAAGTTTACTCTGTTTGTATACTGCAATTTTCTTGTTTTACTAAGTACAACCGTATGTGCAGTCAAAACATAAACAAACAAAATGTGAACATAGCAGAAGAAACTCTTACAGATTACAGCTTTCTCAGTAGGTGTCACTACACTAAATCATAGAATTATTTAAAAAGACGATATCGAATTCGTCACTGAATTCCCATGTGTATTGGGACACCCTGTATACCATGATATCTTTCAAAAGAAGGTATTAACAAACTCAACAAACACGATAAAGATTAGTTTTTGGAACACTAACACTCCATAAAATTTAAGCTAAGAGCTAGCATCCTGTAGACCATGATAACCATAAGACCAATTACAGTTTAAAGCTTTACGTATTCTATGTACTCTATGTACTTTAACTACTTTATGTATTCTTTGTACTTTATGTATTCTTTGTACTTTATGTATTCTTTGTACTTTAACTATGTTATTCTTTGTACTTTATGTACTCCATGTACTTTAACTACTTTATGTATTCTTTGTAATTTATGTACTCTATGTACTTTAACTACTTTATGCATTCTTTGTACTTTTTGTACTCTATGTACTTTATCTACTTTATGTATTCTTTGTACTTTATGTACTCTATGTACAATTTAACTAATTTATGTATTCTTTGTACTTTATGTGCTCTATGTACTATTTAACCTGAGCTAGCATCCTGTAGACCATGATAACCATAGGACCAACCAGTTTAAATCCTCGACAAAAGAAGAGGAAGTAGGGTCCAGTACATGTCATGATTGCTGCAAACAAAATCATTCTTCAAATTTTCTATTTTTTTATTTTCCGCTTACATAAAGTTATCTGATACAATAAAGACTATTTAAATGTCGTCATTATGTTTAGGAACAGATCAGGTAAGGTTTAGGAAAGAGAGTAAAAATCACAAACCTTACATAGAATGCTTTAAGCAAAAAAATAGGTATTAAAGAAAAACCCTTCATGCAGATTTAAGAGTTTGGTTTTTGTCCGAGAAAGCTGTGACAGTTTGACCTGTTAAACATACATTTGCGTGTTAAATGTAAAAGTATTAAAAGACAGCTAGCTCTATAAATTTAAAGATTATAGATCAACGACAAAGCTTACCAATAGCCAAGGAATCCTCTAGTCCGCATATGCAAAATAACCTTAAAGGAACACTCACTAATACCTGAAATATAATATTTAAATGTATAAAAATAATAAATAATAACAATAATAATAATAATAATAATGATGATAATAATAATAATAAAAATAATAATAATAGTAAAAAGTACCATAAAGCAAGCTGCCAGGAAAAGTACTCGAGAAGGGCAAAGAATCATATTTTCCTTGAAGATCTGTTTACCAAGAAACATACGCTCTCTAAATTCAGAAAAGAGTGAGAAAAATATCAAAAAATTAGAAAGAAATGGGAAAAAAAAGAAAAAAAATTTACACATAAAATTGTCAGACATTTTTATTCTTAAAATTTTGATGAACAACCAGAAGTAAGAATTTTAAAAAAGTGAAAAGGAAAAGAATATATGAAAGGCATCATTGAAATTAATCCTATAATTGTTACAGTTCGTCTATATGTTTACAAGCTGTATATAATGATGAAAATGTTCACTGTACAGTGTAATATACACTTTAAAGTGTAGGATTCAAAATCATTGTAAATAATACAATTTGTATCGCACTTTGTACACTGTAATGATAAATAATAATAAACACATTCAACATTATTATTTTTTATTTTTAAAAAAGAAAACATTTTAAATCTTATAAATGTACTAGCTAGAGATACCCGTTGTTCCCCAGGTTCTAAAAACCTTTGAAAATAAAATCAAATTTTGCTTAGCCCTTGGATTCCTTTAAAATATTTAATTCAATTTGGTCCAACCGTTCGTCCATTAAATGTTCATAAATATATTTAAATTTTTAAACTTCTTTTTATTTAAAACAGAATTAAACTGAACTAAATGTTTTACGTCTCAAGGCGACCCTCAGTAGAAAACACTTTGAACATAAATATAAACATATAAAAATATATTAGCGGAGAGCTTTATTTTATAAAACCTGATTGCTATGACCAAATATATAAAACTCCAGACCACCAGTAGAATTTCAGCTCCAATCCTTAAAGAGGAGAGATCATAATTAAACAATTTTTATCCTGAATTTTATTTTTTTTTGTTTGAAAAATAATATATTTTCATGTTAAAAGATCAAAAAATTTGAAAATTTGAAGAAAAAATCTTAATTTAAAAAAAAAATCGATTTTTTTAGCCTCCACCGTGGTACTAGCTCAAGGGTTTCCCAAAAGAATATCAGCCAATTTGGTCCAGCCGTTTGGCCAGCTATAGCTATAATATATGATACTGTATTTCCTATTTTAATTTACAGGGTGTATGATATGAAAGTATACCTAACATAGAGAATAGAATACATAGAGAGGAATTAAAAGAATCTCTCGGTATGAATTTTGTCAGTCCCTTTCAGCCTGAAAGGGAGTTCAAAGTGTACAAATCATGTAAATGTTCACAAATTATATGCAGTAGAGTACATTAATACAGTATGTTCCCTAAACTATCCATTTCAATTTCGAAATTTTAGATCGATTTTTATCCACGTGTGCATGAAAGGCTATCAGAGAATTGACTTACAGAAAATCAAATAATTTTCAAGAAAATTTTTGTATAAAATGATGTTCCAGGGCCCTAAAGGTTATATACCACAAATATGTGAAGTACACCTGCAGTATGGAAACAGTACAACAAAATGGCCGTTTTACACTTTTTTCTAGTAAATTCCTCTCTATATATTCTATTTTCTATGGTACCTAATTTGTTCCTGAATTGTTTCATATTTAAGTAGATAACAGGTTTCAAGCTGGTCTTCTGGGATCTTGCACAACTGACCTTAAAGTAAATATTTTGTCACACAGGCAGCCTTAGTATATTTGAATTTCCGAGCCGGGTCAACCTTTCCGGTCCCAGTTTGTACTATACCTAGCTCTATGGACAGGACTAGCCGGTGCAACAATGTTGACGCGGTCAGAGTTTATGCTTCATATAGGTTGAATTTACTTTTATTAAAGGGACAGAAGTGCGTGGTCATTTATCCAATAAACGCTCAATAGTACAGTGAACTATACAGTCACAGAAGAAGAAGGTTAATGTTAATATGTACAAGTATGAGAAGAGCAAATTCACCTTTACACTCAATAAGAGGCAGTGTTGAAAATATAATATTTTAATCTTCCGTGAAGTTTACTTTAGTTAGAAGTGCGTCATAAGTTCTGAAATACTCCAATGACAGCATGCATGCACCCTAACTAGCGAAATCTCAAATAGATTTTTAAGTGTACGAAAAAAGTGGCTGCAATTACAGTAATACAATTAAACTAGAAAAGATGTACACGAAACGCCTTAAAAACCGTATAATAATTACCATGATAATTGAATCCCAAAGCTTTTAATTTTGGTTCATTATAAAATTTCTAAAAAAGTTTACAATACAGAACAAACCACTTTTCAGACCAGTTTCATTAAAATAAACTTTTCCAGGGCCAAATTTATAAAGATTAATTGTCGAAATAAATCAAAAAATTTTCAACTGACTTGCGCGCATCAAACTGCAGGATTATCAGAATAAATCAAACCTGGAAAAATGACAATATCTTTCACAATATTGATCAGATTAAGGGTTCAAGGATACCGTTGTCAATCGGGTATTGTCATCTTTGCATGGAGGATACTTGAAACTACGCTTACAATCCCGGCGTTATAAGTTGGTATTTCTTTAAAAATAATTAGTAATCTTTTATTTGTTAGAAATAAAAATCCTAATTTGGATTTTAGAAGTTTTCTTTTAATAAAATATGATTCTGCTCTTGATTAAATATTTCTGTTTACAATAACTAGAATAATTAAAATAGAATTTTTATGTGTTTCCTGTTCTCAATAATTATAAAAATATAATAATAAAGTATTAAGTAGTTTTTCTTAATTATATTCACCTTCTGTTGAATTTGTTAAATTTGATCTGAGAGAAATTAGACTAGAGTTAGATAGATCTGAAATTTTATTCAAAAAATGTTTTGAAAATTTTAAAAAAGTGAGAACCATGTTGAATAGAAAGACGACTGTTAGTATTAGAATTAAGTTCATGGTTTTAAAAGTCCATTAGAGCATGAACATGAGATGGGTCTGTGTACACAGCAATTTCAAGATAGCTTATGTCACATCAAAGTACAATATATAGAAACTTTTTAATAGCTTCTAACTGATTGACTAGAGAAATCGTTTATTATCTATCCAATTGATTGAAACACTAAATCAATTGTAGCATTGATTGATTAATTGAAGTCTTAAAAGCAGAGAAATAATTTGTTATCTAATTGATTGAAACACTAAATCAAATGTAGCATTGATTGACTAATTGAAGTCTTAAAAGTAGAGAAATAATTTATTATCTAATTGATTGAGACACCAAATCAATTGTGACATTAATTTTAATTGAATTCTTAAAATTGAAGAAATCATCTATTATCTAATTGATTGGTACACTTTAAGTCAATTTTAGCATTGCTTAATTAATTGAAATAATTTATGTTTTAATTGATTCAATTGTGGCATTCATTGATTATTTGAATTCCTAAAAGTGCTGAGAAATCAGATCGATTGTTCCATTCTAGTTCCCCCAACTCAATTAATTCTTCTACATCTAAATGAATTAATCGGGTTTACTTTTCCTCTATATCTTTGTAACCTCATGGAGAAACTTTTGAAAAATCAAGCTTTGACTTTTTGACCTAGTTTGAATTTTTAATGAACCATAGCATCTAGTTTAAAAGAAATAGAGATTAGAAAAATCGAGTGTTCAGTTATTATTTAAAATTAGATTAAAAGTTATTAAACGTTTTTATTTAATTTTACCTAGTTCAGTCGAATTTTCTTGAGTAGAAAATGTCTGAATTGTTGATCCTTAAAGAATGAGCAATATTATTTATATTTAAACACTTTTTAGTTGTTTTCATATTATCTTTAATCTTTTTTAACTCAATGGTTTAACGGTTTAATCTACAACTGAACTTAAAAAAAGCCACTCTCATTGCCCGAGAACAGATTTTATGATCGGTTAATTTTTTTGAGATATCAAAAAGGAGTTATCTTCATTCGTTCTTCGTTGCCCGTGGAATTTTAAACACAAAAAACTTTGAATTTTACTATTGAAAAAAAAATTTAGAAAAAAACATTAGTCTATGTCACCCAAAAAATGCAACAAATTAGATTCAGCCTTTGCTCAGATATAGCTAACATATATATATAAGGAAATACAAAAGTTGTGACCTGAGGTTGTGCTTGACACCATTGACTTTAGTGTTGAAAGATTAGTTGCCTCTAGAGTAGTGTTAAACAAGGATGCAAATGTAATATTTGTCTCCAGTGTTCCGTTAGTGGTGTTCGCTGGACAGGGTCCCATAAAAGTCTGGGTGGGTCTGCGGCAAGGATGCTTATTGGGTCCATAGTTATTTTGTCAAGTTTAATAATTGTCTCTCAAAACAAACAAAAAATTTTTAATTTATACATTTTTTTTCTGCATTTCCTTAGGTATATAGGATTCAAAAACTAGCTTTTTAAAATTTATTTTGAGCAGGCTGAGGCATTTTAATTGAGATTGAAATGGACTGCAAGAGAATGTGTTTTGGGACACACAGGTCAATAATTAGAAGAATGCAAATTCATCAATTAATCGGCATTTCAACTATTCATGATTATTTTGTACAAAAAAAAACAATTTTTAGAATTTTACTGTTTAATGAAGCGATCCCAAAAGATTTCCTTAGAGTGAAGGCAACCGTTGAGATACAGAAGTAGACAAAAAAAGCAAAGAATTGTCTAAACAAAATAAAGAAAAAAAATATCTACAGAGTGGGAGCTATGCATTAGGCTCAAGTTACTTTCAATGGTTTAATTTGATGAAACACAGCAAATGTGCGGTGGAATTAAATACATATTACATATAACTTCAAGCTACTGCTATAAATCTTTGCCTTATAAGTACATTAAATAAACATAAGATTGATAAAATGTCGTCTTTATATTCAATAGTTTTATGGTTCCTACTATATAACAGGGTATGTTATTAATTATTTTGGTCTTGGTATGATTTTTATTAGAACTTGTTAACTTTGAGTAACAATAATAAATGTATCCTATCTTCAAAAAATTTTGTTGTGTAAGGTCGAATTTGGAAAACTAAAAATCTAATTTTTTTCTCACGATTAAAAAAATGAATTCAAAAAATTACCTGAAGAAACTTTTTCTTATGAATGAATTCCATTTTGCCTAGTAGACAGATTCAATATAAAGGAAAACAATGTGCGATTAAAAAACAAAATTGATTGAAATGTTGATTGCTTTGGAATATAATGAAAATTTAACGGACATTGATGAATATTTAAAAGGAAAAAATAATAAATCATCTTTAATTAAGATAAAAGAACTAGTTACAAGTCCAAACTAAAATTTTTAATGCCTTATCTTTGCAAGCTTTTATATTGTAAACATGATTAATAGATTGATAAATTCATTGATTGTTTGATTGATTTATTTATTAAGTAATTTGTTGATTATTTAATTGGTTGATTTATTGATTAATTGGTTGATTGTTTGATTGAATAATATCTTGATTTATTGATTAAATATGTCCCTGAAGAAGATCAACTATAACATATTCGATTAGATCCAGGTGTTCAAGCAATGGTCCAAACACTAAACAAGAATAATAATTGGTTATATTTCAGAGAAATATTCTAATAATCAAGACTAAGATATTGGGTTATATTTCAGAGAAATATTCTAATAATCAAGACTAAGATGTTGGGTTATATTTCAGAGAAAATATTCTAATAATGAAGATTAAAATTTGGGTTATATTTCAGAGAAAATATTCTAATAATGGAGATTAAAATATTGGGTTATATTTCTGAGAAAATATTCTATTAATCAAGATTAAAATATTGGGTTTTATTTCAGAGAAAATATTCTAATAATGAAGATTAAGATATTGGGTTATAATTCAGAGAAAATGTTCTAATAATGGAGATTAAAATATAAATTTTATAATTTGCAAAAATATTCTAAAATCTTTGTCTGAGCGGCTCAGTTTCATTTTCCATAAAGGTTTGACATAATCACATTCACCATCATTACACTTGCCATAATATAAAATTGCTATCACGAAAATAAATGCTATTAGATTACACTCCTCTTATTGAAGAGCTTTTGAAAAGAACAAAATAGTTTTTTATTACCAGTATGTTCCTGGATAATATTACTAGTATGTTCCTGGATAATATTACCAGTATGTTCCTGGATAATATTACCAGTATGTTCCTGGATAATATTACCAGTATGTTCCTGGATAATATTACCAGTATGTTCCTGGATAATATTACCAGTATGTTCCTGGATAATTTTGATTTTCTCATACTTTTCCGCAAAATCAATACTGGAGGAGCCACGAGGTCACAAAGCCGTGAAGGTATTATGACAAATTAAAATGAATCTATCTTCCCATCAAAGTATAACTTTAAAAAATATGTAAATTTAATTATTTAAATGTTTAAATTATCTACCGATCAGATTGAGCGCAGATTTTTGCTGCAGTTCTCCGGTTTCAGAGTGGATTGTGTCCAAATATTCCAGAGGGTAAGCAGAACATGTCACATTCCCTTTAATTATAGTATAGTGTAGGTCATATTCCCTTTAATAAGAATATAGTGTAGGTCATATTCCCTTTAATAAGAATATAGTGTAGGTCATATTCCCTTTAATAAGAGAAAAGAGTAGGTCATATTCCCTTTAATTAGACTATAGAGCAGGTCATATTCTGTTTAATTGAAGTACAGAGTAGGCCACATTCCCATTAATTAAAGTATAGAGTAGGTCACATTCCCTTTAATTAAAGTATAGAGTAGGGGACATTCCCTTTAATTAAAGTATATAGTAGGTCACATTCCCTTTAATTAAAGTAAAGAATAGGTCACATTCTGTTTAATTGGAGTATAGAATAGATCATATTCCCTTTAATTGGAGTATAGAGTAGGTCACATTCCCTCTGATTAAAGTAAAGAATTGATCAAATTTCCTTCAATTGGAGTATAGAGTAGGTCACATTCCCTTTAATTAAAGTATAGAGTAGGGGACATTCCCTTTAATTAAAGTATATAGTAGGTCACATTCCCTTTAATTAAAGTAAAGAATAGGTCACATTCTGTTTAATTGGAGTATAGAATAGATCATATTCCCTTTAATTGGAGTATAGAGTAGGTCACATTCCCTCTGATTAAAGTAAAGAATTGATCAAATTTCCTTCAATTAAAGTATAGAGTAGGTCACATTCCCTTTAATTAAAGTATAGAGTAGGGGACATTCCCTTTAATTAAAGTATATAGTAGGTCACATTCCCTTTAATTAAAGTAAAGAATAGGTCACATTCTGTTTAATTGGATTATAGAATAGATCATATTCCCTTTAATTGGAGTATAGAGTAGGTCACATTCCCTCTGATTAAAGTAAAGAATAGATCAAATTTCCTTTAATTGGAGTACAGAGTAGGTCACATTCTCTTTGATTAAAGTAAAGACTAGATTATATTCCCTTTAATTAAAGTAAAGAATACGTCACATTCCTTTTAATTGGAGTATAGAATTTGTCATATTCCCTTTAATTAAAGTAAAGAGTAGATCACATTCCCTTTAATTGGAGTATATAATAGATCATATTCTCTTTAATTAAAGTATAGAGTATTCTGTTTAATTGATTAAAGGATAGAATAGATCATATTCCCTTTAATTAAAGTATAGAATAGATCATATTCCTTTTAATTGGAGTATAGAGTAAGTCACATTCCCTTTGATTAAAGTATATGGTAAGTTACATTCCGTTTAATTGGAGTATATGATAGATCATATTCTCTTTAATTAAAGTATAGAGTTAAAGTATAGAATAGATCATATTCCCTTTAATTAAAAAATATGGTAGGTCACATTCCGTTTAATCAAAGTATATAGTAAGTCACATTCCTTTTGATTAAAGTAAAGAATAGATCATATTCCCTTTAATTAAAAAATATGGTAGGTCACATTCCGTTTAATCAAAGTATATAGTAAGTCACATTCACTTTAATTGTAACTAAAGTAAGTCATATTCTCTTTAATCTTAATCTGAGTAATTGGAGTACAGAATACATTCCCTTTAATTTAAGTATAGAATAGATCACATACCTTTTGATTAGAGTTATAGAGTAGGTCACATTTCCTTTAATTGGAGTACAGTGTAGGTCATATTCCCATTTATTAAAGTATAGAGTAGGTCACATTTTCTTTAATTGGAGTACAGAGTAGGTAACATTCCCTTTAATTAAAGTAAAGAATAGGTCACATTCTGTTTAATTGGAGTATAGAATAGATCATATTTCCTTTAATTGGAGTATAGAGTAGATCACATTCCCTCTGATTTAAGTAAAGAATAGATCAAATTTCCTTCAATTGGAGTACAGAGTAGGTCACATTCCCTTTGATTAAAGTAAAGAATAGATCATATTCCCTTTAATTAAAGTATTGAGTAGGTCACATTCCGTTTAATTGAAGTACAGAGTAGGTCACATTCCCATTAATTAAAGTAAAGACTAGATCATATTCCCTTTAATTAAAGTGAAGAATAGGCCACATTCCTTTTAATTGGAGTATAGAATAGATCATATTCCCTTTAATTGGAGTATAGAGTAAGTAGGTCATATTCCCTTTGATTAAAGTATATGGTAAGTTACATTCCGTTTAATTGGAGTATATAATAGATCATATTCTCTTTAATTAAAGTATAGAGTATTCCGTTTAATTGATTAAAGTATAGAATAGATCATATTCACTTTAAATAAAGTAAAGAATAGATCATATTCACTTTAAATAAAGTAAAGAATAGATCATATTTCATTTAATTGAAGTATAGAGTAGGTCACATTCCCTTTGATTAAAGTAAAGAATAGGTCATATTCCCTTTAATTAAAAAATATGGTAGGTCACATTCCGTTTAATCAAAGTATATAGTAAGTCACATTCACTTTAATTGTAACTAGAGTAAGTCATATTCTCTTTAATCTTAGTCTGAGTAATTGGAGTACAGAGTAGGTCACATTCCCATTAATTAAAGTTTAGAGTAGGTCATATGTCCTTTTTATATCTGATGAGTAAAACACAGATCAAGAGCATACACAGAAAAAAATCTAAGGGGGGGGGGATATTTTTTTGCCCCTCCTTAGAGCTCCTAGGGAGGGGCAGCAAAATTTGAACTGTAAATTCAAAACATTTGGCTTCAATTGGATACTTTAAAGATACACATACATTCCAATTACCTTGAAAGGGCTACTTTATCTCTCCTTCAAACTAAACTAGCAGACAAAAACAGCAAACTAATTTTTTGTGTTCTTCACTCTTCAGTTTCAGATTTGAAAAGAGTTATAGCTCTGAGTTCTAGAACTCAGAGGGCACTTCCCCCTTTGCCCCCACCCTGTGTACGCCCTTGATACAGATTATATTTCCTTTTTATTGCTGTACACATTGTTTCGTGCTTTAAACACTTATATATATTTGTATAAACTGTATATACCTTTATATATATTTGTATAAACTGTATAAACCCTTATATATATTTGTATAAACTGTATATACCCTTATATATATTTGTATAAACTCTATATACTCGTATATATATTTGTATAAACTGTATATACTCGTATATATATTTGTATAAAAAATACCTAATTGCCAGTATATTTCTCTCTCCACACTGCAAATATGAAAGAACATATCCATCCTAAAAATTTTGTTAAATTTGTGGTTTATAAGTTTGAAATATTGCCAGTTTAAACCATCAGTGACCGAATTGAATGAATTTGAACCGCGTTTCAAATCCGGCAAAAACCGATTTCAATTGAGCCCTGGCTTAAATCTTGAAACATTGAATACAATTTTAAGTGGAACCAACCAAATGTGAGCCGCGTCTCAAATTTAAGCCTCGAATCAAATTCTTAAAATTTGGCCTCTGATCGCAGATATTGAAGAATATTAAAATTAGAGTTTGCAGCGAGGATAATTTTCATTTAGCCCAATATTGACGAGACAAAATGTTTTTCTATTCTCGCTGAAATTCACAGGGTTAACTCATTTTACTGTCCATAGAGTAGATATAAAGTTTTATTTTTTTCAATGAAGGGTATTAGTGGATATACAGAAATTTTTCCTTGTTTATCTACAGAAACTTTTCCTTGTTTATCTACAGAAACATTTCCTTGTTTATCTACAGAAACATTTCCTTGTTTATCTACAGAAACTTTTCCATGTTTATCTATAGAAACTACAGAAACTACAGAAACTCTAAATTTAATTGTCGAACACTTTTTTGGCAAATTTTTTTATATTTAAGGAATATTGATATTTACTTTCTGGAATTCCCAGAAATATAAATATTTACATTACAGTTTTTGAAAACCGCGTTGGACATCACACTTGTTTGGTTTTTGTTCTTAATCATGATTAGCTAGAATGTAATATGAACACAATATTAGGGTTTCTTTTAACAGTACAGTGAAAACCAGAAAACTGTTAAAAAGGAAGACGACATTTAAGCAATAATTAAATGTATATGATTGTGTTACAAAGTAAATAGCTTGAATAGTAACTTATTAAATCGTTTTTAAGTAAAATGGTTCTGTTTACACTGCACAATTGCTGTGTTTCATGTTATTTTGATTATTTAAAGTTCATAACATGAGCCTAGCAGTCTTTTTCCGATTCCAGAGTTTTCTGGTTCTCACTGTACACTAGTTCACTCTATACCTGGCTAGATAGGCTGCAAGGGTTAGAGGGGTCAACCCAGCTTTATTCTCAATATTGATTGCTGCCCCGCACTCTACAACCTAGGATAGGAATTAGTTTTTGGGAACAATCCTTTTTATTCTTTGCAAGTTTATGAAAATCTTCAAAATTCAGTTTGAAATCAAAGGAATTGAATCTTCGCCACAAACTCAAATCTTCCCATCCCTATATCTTTGCAATTTGATGGTGTAAACCTTCGATATTCCAAACTTACATTAACTAATAATTTAGGAATCATAGTTTGAAATATCTAAGGTCTACGACGTTGGATTGCAAAGATATAGGGATTAGAAAACCATACTTTGTTGCAAGAACTCAATTCCTTTCAGAATTAAGTTTTTCTAAATTTTTAATCAGAATTAATATCTATGCCTTACTAGTCATGACAATTGAGAACGACCACTGTTACTTTTGAATTATGATATTTATCAATTGTACACAATATTTAAAAAAAGGTGCAAGCACGACTTATATTTGTGTTAAACCTAGGAAAGGCTTCTAAGTTAAAAAAAATTTTCTGATAAATATCAAATATCAAAGACAATCTGTAGGTTCTCTTAAAATTGTCATGGTGAATTAAACACCCTGTATAGGACACCCTGTTTATAACACCCTGTATATAACACCCTGTATATAACACCCTGTATATGACACCCTGTATGTGACACCCTGTATATACCCTGTATTTAGCACTCTGTATATAACACCCTATATTTAACACCCTTTATAAAACACCCTAAATAGAACACCCTGTATAGAAAACCCTGTAAAAAACAAAATGTATAGGACACCTGTATATAACAGCTTTTATATAACACGGCCTGTATACAACGCCCTGTATATATAACGCCCTGTATATAACACCCTGTATAGAACATCCTGTATAGGACACACTTTATAGAACACGGTGTATAAAACCCTGTATATAACATCCTGTATATAACACCCTGTACATAACACCCAGTATGCCACACCCTGTATATAACATCCTGTATTTAACACTCTGTATATAAGACCCAACATATATAACACCCTGTATAAAACACCCTGAATAGAACACCCTGAATAGAACACCCTGAATAGAACACCCTGTATAGGAAACCCTGTATAGAACACCCTGTATAGAACACCCTGTATAGGAAAAACTGTATATAACACACTGTATATAACATCGTGTATATAACACCCTATATATAACGCCCTGTTTATAACACCCTGTATAGAACACCCTGTACAGAATACCCTGTATGCGATACCCTGTATATACCCTGTATGTAACATCCTGTATATAACACCCTAAATATATAACACCCTGAATAGAACACCCTGTATAGGAAACACTGTTTAGAGCACCCTGTATATAACACCCTGTATAGGACACCCTGTATAGGATACCCTTTACAGAACACCCTGTATAGAACAAAATGTATAGGACACCCGGTATATAACATCCTGTATATAACACGGCCTGTATACAACACCCTGTATATAACACCCTGGATAGGACACCATGTATGGGAAACCCTGTATATAACACCCTTTATATAAAACCCTGTATAGAATATCCTGTAAAGGACACCCTATATAGAACACACTGTATATAACACCCTGTATATAACACCCTGTATAGGACACCCTGTATAAGAAACCCTGTATATAACACCATGTATAGGAAACCCTGTATATAACACTCTGTACATAACACCCTACATATATATAACACCCTGTATAAAACACCCTGAATAGAACAAACTGTATAGGACACCCTGTATATAACATGATCTGTATACAACACCCTGTATATGACACCCCGTATAGGACACCCTGTATATAACACCGGCCCAATATAAGAAACCCTGTATATAACACCCTGGATAGGAAACCCTGTATATAACACCCTGTATAGGACATCCTGTATAAGAAACCCTGTATATAACACCATGTATAGGAAACCCTGTATATAACACCCTGGATAGAAAATCCTGTAGAGGACACCGTCCCAATAGAACACACTGCATATAACACCCTGTATATAACACCCTGTATAAAACACCCTGTATATAACACCCTGTATAGGACACCCTGTATAAGAAACCCTGTATATAACACCATGTATAGGAAACCCTGTATATAACACCCTGGATAGAAAATCCTGTAGAGGACACCGTCCCAATAGAACACACTGCATATAACACCCTGTATATAACACCCTGTATAAAACACCCTGAATAGAACACCCTCTTTAGGAAACCCTTTATAGAACACCCTGTATATTACACCCTGTATAGGACACCCTGTATTTGACACCCTGTATAGAACACCCTGTATAAGACAAACTGTATATAACACCCTGTATATAACACCCTGTACAGAACACCCTGTATGCGATACCCTGTTTATACCATGTATATACCATCCTGTATTTAACACTCTGTACATAACACCCTACATATATATAACACCCTGTATAAAACACCCTGAATAGAACAAACTGTATAGGACACCCTGTATATAACATGATCTGTATACAACACCCTGTATATGACACCCCGTATAGGACACCCTGTATATAACACCGGCCCAATATAAGAAACCCTGTATATAACACCCTGGATAGGAAACCCTGTATATAACACCCTGTATAGAACATCCTGTTTAGGACACCCTGTATAGAACACACGCTATATAACACCCTGAATATAACACCCTGTATATAGCACAGAACACCCTGTATATAGCACAGAACACCCTGTATATAACACCCTTTATAGGACACCTTGTATAGAAAACTCTGTTTATAACACCCAGTATAAGAAACCCTGTATATAACACCTTGGATAGGAAACCCTGTTTATAACACCCTGTATAGAACATCCTGTATAGGACACCCTGTATATAACACCCTGGATAGGAAACCCTGTATATAACACCCTGTATTTAATACTCTGTATAGGACACCCTGTATAGAACACCCTGTATATAATATTTAGTTATAAAAGTACAATCAAACACTTCTGCATTATGACAATGATTTTTTACTGCATTGCGATATTATTATTTCTATTAACACCAAACTTATTAAATTATTAAGAACACACAAATTCCAACCAAAAAGTAATAAATAATAGAAATTACTTTTTGTATTGAAGAACTAACCTAATACCGAAATATTGAACAAACTGCAATTATTATGTAAAGAATATAACATATTTTTAACCCTATTCCCGCTGGGGGGACCCCCCAGCGTATCCTGGTTTTCAAGTACCCCAGCAGGGATAGGGTTAAAATGCTAGAAAACACAGCGCTGTTTGTTCTTCAAATCGTTACACAACTATTTGAATTTCTAAGTTAGAATTAAAATCTGTTCTACTCAATAGTCCCTATATTATGGCTGGCCCGTTCAGACTTTTTCATGACGTTCGAGTCAATGGTTGGTTAAAAAAATCGTTCAAAAACCAAATTTTTTAAGTAGTTTGTTCTGTTCTTTTTTATAGTTTTGTGAACGATCTCATTAATGGCATTAACGAAAGATATTTTGGAAATCCTTAATGGCGTTAGCCGTTAACAAGCCATTAACAATTATATTATGTAAAAATAGCCGGACAAATTTTAAGACAACAATACGTAAATAATAAACCGTTATTTTGTTTTCAAGAATGTCTATTTCTGTTCGTCTTCACGATTTCAAATTAACGGTTTTTTCCGTTTTTTAAAGAACTCTACTAGGGTTATTTCAAAAAGGAAGCGGCCAGTCCCTATATAACTCGGTAAACACGGGTTCAAAGCACCGAGTCGACATTTTATCAGGAGGAGCAGTCTTTACAGTAAAAATACAGACTATATAAGGCAAAATGGGATAGTACACCAAATGAATGATTCGCTTCTAGTTAAATTTAATAATAACTTAATACTTTTACCATATCCCACATTCTCATTAGATCGAAAACCACTAGAACATGTGCCACTGTATTCCCGTTTGTATCCTAATCAACTCAACAGTTAAAAATATATTCTTTTCAAGTGTGCTAAGCTAATATATTTATAAAATATAAATAAAGCTTGAATAAAAAATATTGCCAAGCTAAAACACTTAAATGGTGTTGCATTCTGTCTAAGTTTGAAATATCAAAGGATTTTACCATATCAGTACGCAAAGATTTTAATTTAGATTAGATTTGTGTATGCAACATAAATACTTTTAAACCCTTCCCTTAAGATCATGGTTAGCTCCCTTAGATAACATCAACCTGATAAAAATAAAATAATTTGAAATATTTTTTTGCTTTCTATTAATTTAAATTATAACCTATTATACATCATCATGTTGTTATTTATTTATGAAAATGTACACTATAACTTTAACTTTTTTTCTTGAAAGTGTCAAATGATCAAAATTAGAATGGGAATCACAGTATATTTATTTAAATATTTTAGCAAAAGCAAATTGATGGGAAGAAAGTGGATAAGTGGGTGGAAGGGAAAGGAAGTGAAAAATAGAAGGGAAATGGAACGGAAAGATGCAATTGATGGGAAGAAAGTAGAGTGGAAAAGATGGAATTGTAGGATGAAAACAAGATGAGGGAAAGGGGGAAGTAATGGGAAGTGAGAAGATGAAAAGGAGGGGGGAGGGGAAGCAGGTGGAAAAGAATGGAGATAATGAGAAGAATGGGAGTTAAGCAGTTAAGAAAGCCTAATAAATGGGAAATGAGGAAATGGGAGGAAAGATGAACAAAGGTAATGAGAAGGAAAAAAGGATGGGAAAGTGAAGAGTGAAAGGAGGAAGGGGAAAGGGGGGGAAGGAGTAAGAAGGTGTAAGGGAATGGGCAGTAAAGCTACCTATAACACTCCTCCTGCTCTAGACAAGCAGCAAAAGCAAAAGGATATTCTCCCCAGGCAACATATCCAGCATAGTTAGTTTCCAAGACTAGATCATTCTCCTTAACAGTAAATATATGCTTATATATATCCTAGGCAACATGTCCAGCATAGTATGTTTCCAAGACTAGATCATTCTCCTTAACAGTAAATATATGCTTATATATATCCTAGGCAACATGTCCAGCATAGTATGTTTCCAAGATTAGATCATTCTCCTTAACAGTAAATATATGCTTATATATATCCTAGGCAACATGTCCAGCATAGTACATGAGCCACCACTATTTCCCCTTCAGTACCACATATTAGCTTTTTTCTCTTCCGGCAGCCATTAGCCACCACTATTTCCCCTTCCGTACCACCACATTTGACTCTTCCGGGCAAAACTACTTTTTTAAATGGTATATTTAGGGCCTTTAAAGTGTGATTTTAAAAAATCCAGCCGCGTCACGCAAAAAAGCACAACTCAAATCATTTTTTCAATTCTACTTAAGATTAATATTTTGTGTTTTGAATTCTTAAACTGTTTTACAATGAAATTTTTTACTAATTTGACTGAGTATTGCATCTTAAAATATCACAAAGTCTAATGATTATTCAATTACCGACTCATTATACTAAATCCATGTTAAAATCACTCATTAACCAATAATCATTAGACTTTGTGATATTTCAAGATGCAATACTCAGTCAAATTTGTCAAAAATTTCATATTTTCTAGGAATGTTAGAAAATCCAGCGCCAGCGAAAATTATTTAAAAAAAAACAAAATCAAAAATATTATGAAATATTAACTTTATATGAATGCGTCGAAAAATAATCGATGACTACTGTTTGTAATATCTGAATGATTTGTTTGGAATTAAATTGATTTGTTTACAATCCGAGTTGAATGTTGCATCTTTCTGAATTTGTTTGTACGCTGCGTTCTTCGGAGTGAGTCGTTTTTAACAATTTTCTCTTTATAGACGCGACAGATAAAAGTAAGATTAGTAGCGACACTCTTAATTAAATCTCAAAATAGTGAAATTAAGGACAAAAAGTCGCTTAATAAACGATTTGTAGTTGCATTTTAAACGATTTTAAAGCGTGTGAAGTAAATAAAACTTCATAATAGACGACTAAAAGTCGCCTAATTTGCATTTTTAAATCGTCTATAAACTCAATTTCGAAATTAAGGACAAAAAGTCATTAATTGAACGATTTTAATTGCATTATAAATGATTTTAAATTGTTATTTTTGAATTAGAAATAACTTAATTTTAGACGACTGAAAGTCGCCTAAGAAGCGATTTAAAATCGTATATTTTTAGGCAGGTAGTCAAAACTCAAACCAGTTTATGAATCAGCTGATGGTTAGCATTCTTGCTCATTACCGTCTCTTATTTTACACAAAAAAAAACAGAAGCTGTCGCAGAAAGCAGCGGGAAATCAAGACTTAAAGTTTACCGATTTGGTCTATTTTTCAAATTATTTGTTAAAAGTTCCAAATATGTTTGCTAAATAGTTCATATTAAAAAACAAATCTTCATATCAAACATCAAACAACATATTATGTCGGATACTATTGGATGAAACGATTGAGAAGCTCAGGATCGGGGGAATTTTTTCCTGAGGGGGTGGGGCTTATCCTTANTCTTATTTATTGTGAAAATACGTTTTCTGATCTGGAAACAAAAGCATTGTTGCCGATATGAGATATTTTGTACATGATTTCAGCAAAATTATTATTATTTATTTTTCATTATTTTAGGGTTAAGTTAGGTTAGGATTTATTTGATTTGATTTAGGTTAGGTTAAGACAATTTCTGGGCCGAGCACTGCGGCTAGGACAGGCTAGTTTTAGGATAAAAATAAGCGAAAATAATAAAACAAAAAAATTTTAAATTATTTTTTTTTTTTTAATTCCGTAAATCTTAAAGAAATGACCTGGATCCGGATCCATTTTTTTCCAGTGCAGATCCAGGATCCAGATCCGCATCAAAATTAATTGGATCCTAAGCACTGGTTATCATAGCATATTTGTTTTAGTAGGATTTTAGGCAGTGTTTAGGATCCAAATTTTCATGGCGATCCGGATCTGGATCCTGGATCCGCACTAGAAAAAAATGGATCAGGATCCCAGTCATTTCTTTAAGACTTAATGAATATTTTACTAAACCAGAATTTGTAAGTTTTTGCCTTATTTTTTCGCTAATTTTTATGCTAAAACTTGATGACCCATAAAGAAATCAGGAAATTTTTAATCTCTGTTTTCAATAGTTCAGATTTGGGTTTTAGGAGTAAATAAGTTTTTTGCAGTTTTTGGTTGATATTTTACCCCTTGGATACGGATCCATGGATCCACATATTTTTGCGGATCTGGATTCAGATCCAGGAAGCCAAAATCTTACTGATCCGGATCCTAAGCACTGATGATAACATTTGTAATAAAAGCCCCATCATTTATTTTTCCTTTTTTCCTGACAAGTTATAAGGACACTTAAAAACCACAAACTCTGATTTTCTAAACCCTACATTTTTGCAATCCCATGTCGTAGACTTAAGATATTTTACACAATGAATTCTGTTAGATCAATAAATCTAAGTCTGAGATGTCAAAGGTTTCATCCTTAGCTTGCAAAGATATAGGATTTAGATAATTTGTGCTAAGAACGTTTAAAGAGTGTAACAAAGATATCCGTATCAATACTAAGGTTGAGCTAGCTAATGCAATAAGTATTAACTAAACTAAAAAGATTGAAAGTGTTGATATATTATATAACTTTCAAATTTTTCAATAACTTAATTTAAACTAAAAAGTTTGAGAAATTAAACAACATACTGTACAATTCTTTATATACTGTAAAGTGTACACGGGAAAAAATAAACATTTTTTTAAAATAACTGATTTTATTAAAATATAAACAATTTTTTTGTTGAAAACAGTTTTTTGTTTAAATTAAAATGATTTTTTGTTGAAAAAAAGCGAGTTGTTTTAATATACGAGATCTTTTGGTTGAATTAAAACGATTTTTTTAAATAAGCGATTTCGTTAAAAATAAGCGTTTTTTTGTGTTAAAAGTAAGCGATTGTTTTTGTTGAAACAAAACTTTTTTTCAATTAAGCGATTCATGTTAAGCGATTTTTTGTCGCCTAATTGGGTGCCATCCAACTTTTTCACCTGATTAGGTGACTTTTTATCGCTTAATTACGACTTTTTAATTTAGAGTGGATCAAAAGCGCTTTTTTATTGTATTAAGCCTATACCCCTTTTCATTTTTCACTAACACTCCTTTTAAAGTCGTCTTTGACCTTTTAATTAGTTCGCGGTTTTCTTTTTCCCACCTAATTTGTTGTAGTAATCTATGTTTGGGTGTTTGTTTGTTAGTTTATATTTGAACCTAACTACAGATTTACCGCATTTTGTTTATTGTGAACTCGGTGGAACTACATGAATGATTTTAGCTTGTTTGAAATTCTAAAATGATTACTATAATTTGAAATTGTCATGAACATGAAACACCGCAATTGTGCAGTGTACACAGACCCAGTTGAATTAAGAAGTTTTCTAAAACATACATCAAATAAACTTATACTTGCTTTATTTCTGTTTCTTGGGTTCCATTTTGTAATCATTTACCTCGTATGCTTTATTATCCCTTCTGCTTGATTTCTGATCATCGCAAGTAAAGAAGTTTCCGTAACATCTTCTATGGAAATCAGCTCCTATCTCCAGTAGCCACTGCAAATATAACGTGAGCAATTAAAGAGGTTGTACACGTAATTTCGATCAAGTAATTCTTTATTTAAAGAGAGGCTCGCCCTATGTTGTAAAAACTATTGCACTACTGAACAGATCAAGAAGTTACGAACATTTTGTTCAAAATTATTGTTTGTTATTTTAAATAGAATAATTTTATAATTTACAGAAAACGATTTGACGGGGGGTTCACGACAAACAAAAGTAAACTGCACGAAGGATTAAAATCTTCATTGTTTTTGATCTTAACTTCTTTAATTAAAGAGGTATTAAAAGAATTGTTTTGAAACACTCATATGTAACCAAATAAATTTACTTTTCTCCTACTTGTGCGAAAAATTAAGACTAAAGGAGAAACGAGATCACAAAGTCATATAAAAATGTAAATTAAATTTGACCCTCTTGGTCAGTTTGCAGTAGGTTCCTTGGTTTGGTCAATTTGTTTACTTTCAAAATTCTTTTTGTACCTGTGTTGTAACTTTAACGATTTTTATTTGTTTTCTGTTTTCACGAAGTTGTAGATAAGGGATACAGAGCGCTGTGAATTTTTATAAAATATACCTTGACTAAAGAAGGATCTTCAGCAACTGCTGCCATGTGAAGAACATTTTCACCATAATACTCCTAAAACATATTTATATTATGGTATTTATATATTATCAAATATATTTATATACTTTTATAACTGTGTCAAGAAATTGTTTGCAAAACGCAAATTGTAAAATTAAATCACTATATAAATGCAGTTGTCTAAAATTGAGGCCTGTACCCATTACCCAACCAAACTTAAATAATTTCATAACGAACTATAAGCCGCTTCAAACTCTTTCAAATTTTCTATTTCAGTTTACTTTGCAAATTGATGTTGTAGACCCACAGCTCTTCTGAACAAAAAATGGCTTGATTCAAATCACATGAGATGAGACTTGTCCCAAGTTAAAGCTGAATATCTGTTGGACCGATATTGACCTTTTTTGAAATTTTACGTGAACCTTCTTCGTATTTATTGAAAATATATTCGGACACGCTAAATATTTAAATAAAACTTCTCTACGCGAAATCTTACAAGAAACAACGTTTTCAATCACAGTTTTAGATTACAGGGAACCATCCTAACAGTTTTAGATTACAGGGAACCATCCCAACAGTTTTAGATTACAGGGAACCATCCCAACAGTTTTAGATTACAGGGAACCATCCCAACAGTTAGTTTTGATAAAAATTATATTATTTCGCACTTGCTCTGTTCGCGCAGAACAGACAAAATGTGTGTTTATTTTTTCAGTCATAATGACCTCAATCGACCTTAGATAAAACAATTTTTTCTTTTCTAGAAAGAAACTGTTTTTGCTCGCAAAAATTTTCCTGTAAAATCCATGGTTCAGGAAATATACTCTAAGTAAACTTTGAGAAAATGAGAAAATCCTTGGCTTAGATGATAAATCATTGGTTTAGGGGATAAATGCCAAGTTTTCGATGATAAATCCATGATTAAGGTGATTAACCCTAAGAATTGAATAATATTCACAAATAGATATAATACATTAAAAAAATATTGTAAAAAAACATGTACTTTATAGAATTAGAAAAAATATTCAATCAAAGGTCAATTGAGGTCTAATTATGAATGGAAGAGAAAAACGTATTTTTGTCTGTTCCGCGCGAACAGAGCGAGTTAGGTTAAACATAATGTTTTTCAAAGGATTTGACTTGGGAGTTGGAACAAACTTCAAACATCACTTTTTACTCTATGTGAGAAATCCAACTTTGGAAATATCAAAGTAGAGTTAATGGTACAGTTGTAGATTGCGAAATAATGTGATTTTGCGACATTTATAAATAAAAAAATAAAATTTAGGTTTTTTAAAGTTGAAATTTATTTACCTGTGTCTTGACCCCAGAACCCCAGAGCAGCTGGAGGTGAGGCTGGTACTTGACCTCACAGAACCGAACCTAAAAGGGATTGTTTAGGAAAAATAATAAATAATAAAATGTTAATTATATAAATAGAAATGAATCATGAATAGCATATTTACCATCTACAGCCAATTGACGGTTACTTTAAACGAGTATTACTTGAGAGCACACAATCAAAACCAAACTCCACGAACCCCAAAAATGAAGGATAGTTTACATTAAATATTGCATAGACATTGGATAGAAATCAATAGAAAATGAAATCATGAACATACCTGAGGATCGAACCGTCTTTTTGTTTCAGATTTTAAGATTTGGTTTTATGAATTTAATATTAATTTTTAGTTTCAGTTTTTTTATACTGCATTCAGCATTTGGATTTAAGTCTTAATCAAAGTATTTAATGTTATTAATTGTTTACATCAAAATCGGCCATTTGAATTTCTTATGATAATTTGCTGATAAACTTTTTTTTTGTTGATTTACATAAATTTTTTTATTGTTATTTTTAACAAAAGTTGTTATTTTAATATCAGCCTTCAAACAAAATCCTGAGAAATTTACCTTTTAAGATTGTGCATTTTAACTGAATGTGATTCCAGTTCCTCAATCCTTGAACCAAGGTTATCAGTCATCTTACTCAGCTCCCTAACCGCTCCGATATTCTCTAAATATATAAATATTTAGATTTACGCATCACCCTAGCAGCTCCAATATTCTCTAAATATACAAATTTTTAGATTTACTTAGCTCCCCAACCGCTCCAATATTCTCTAAATATACAAATATTTAGATTTACTTAGCTCCCTAACAGCTCCAATATTGTCTAAATATACAAATATTTAGATTTGCTCAGCTCCATAATCGCTATAATATTTTCTAAATATACAGATATTAAGATTTACGCATCACCCTAACCGCTCCGATATTCTCTAAATATACAAATATTTAGATTTGCTCAGCTCCCTAACAGCTCCAAAATTCTCTAAATATACAAATATTTAGATTTGCACAGCTCCATAATCGCTTCAATATTCTCTAAATATACAAATATTAAGATTTACTCAGCTCCCTAACCGCTCCAATATTCAATAAATATACAAATATTTAGATTTACTCATCTCCCTAACCGCTCCAATATTCTCTAAATATACAAATATTTAGATTTGCTTAGCTTTCAACATCTGTGTATGTCCTTAGGTGAACTGACTTAATACTTTTTTTCTTACAAAGTAAATCTTTAATTCAACTCAGTTCTTGGTTTGCCCATTTTTTAGCATTGTATCTTTTTTAAATACTTATGGCAAATAGAGGAGTCTTTTAAATATTACTTAATCTAATTTTAGATTTCATTTACCCAATTTCAAAATGCATGAACACCCTATTTAATGAAATTTAAGACAAGGAAACAAATATTAAAGTGAGAGTTCACAAAAACCAAGCCTGATCAGACATTAAAAATTACTCCTCTTTGTTTTTTGTATACACTCCATTTTCTGAACTTCTTACCCAAGAAGAGTCTGTCCTTGTTAACGATGAGCATGTCTGGGATAGTCTCCCCAGAACTGAGCTCCAGGTCACCTGCTGTATGTACTGCATCAGGGAGTACTTGAGCTAACTCCTAAACATTAATATATTGGGATCACAAGGAATACAAAGTAAACAAGGACTCCGGCAGCAGGTACTGGTTCAGGGAGTGGTTGTTCTTCCATGTGACCCTCCAATTAAAAAGTTCATGTCTAATTTAAAAAAATACTAGTTAAACCTTTGTCTGATTATTAATGAAGAATTTTTATGGATTTTATAGTGTTTTATCTAAATATATACTCCTTTGTTATAAGAGCAGAATTTCAAAAGTCCCGCAAATCCTTATATAGAAAAACAAAATTGAAAATAACCAATTTCTAAAGTTAAAAACTTAAAAACAGATGAATAACTCTAGATCAAATTTTTATCGAGCTTTTCAACTGCAGGATACAGAGGGAAATATCCAAGAAAAACGTAAGATATCTACCATTTTTCTAGATCTCTGGGAAAAGATATCGAAAATTGATAAAGCTGGGCATGGAAATGTTGTGGTGACAGTTCCTTTCAATTTCCAAATACCCAAGTTTTTGACAAATAGTGAGTTTAGTGTCAAGGCATTTCAGGACACCTCAAATGCAANGCCGTGAATTCTTCCGCCTCCAAGAAGAAGAAGTCTGTGACTTTCCTCAACAAACCTACAGTTGTGCTGAGAAGAAACCCACACAGACAAGCTAGGGGAAGAAGCTCCTGCTCCGCCTTGACTCCGCCGTTCCTTCTTGGGGGGAGTACTGTGGCGGCGTAGTGGCGGAAGACGAAGTTCTGGAGGAGTTTAAAACCGAATATCAAGACGCGGCAGGTTGAGCAGTTTCCGGCCACGTCATCTATCTATCTTTTACTTTTCTATAAATTTCAGTATTTTAAAGTAGTAATAAAGTAATTATTTAAACAGGTGTTTGTTTAACTTGCTATAATATCCTTGTCTGGTATTTACCTGTGCTAATATCCTTGTCTGGTATTTACCTGTGCTATAATATCCTTGTCTGGTATTTACTATTAATATCCATGTCTGGTAAATATCTTGACTAATATCCATGTCTAGTATTTACCTGTATTAATATTCATGTCTGGTATTTACCTCTGCTAATATCCCTGTCTGGTATTTACTATTAATATCCATGTCTGGTATTTATCTGGACCAATATCCATGTCAAGTATTTACCTGTACTAATATTCATGTCTGGTATTTACTATGTGCTAATATCCTTGTCTGGTATTTACCTGTGCTAATATCCCTGTCTGGTATTGGCCCATTTTCTGTCTTTCATCCTCTGGGAAGTTTTGAAGATATTCTGGCTTGTACTTGTACTTTACAACCTGGATAGTTTTGAATTTTGGATTTAAGCAATCATCTTTCAACACTTACCACAAGAATCTAAGATGTTTCTTGTGTTTTAAAAATTAGAAAAAATTATTTTACAGCTTTTAAGAAAATTTTTAATTTAATTTTTTTTAAATATTTGGAAATCTCGAAACTACAAAAAAATTGATCAACAACATATTAAAGCCTAATTTTTACTTTAGGAGCATAGGCTACCACTAAATGTATTTACCAAAAATTACCTGAATATTTTGTACATTTTGTAATTGAACTTTTGGATCCATTAGGGTGATGTCTTCTTTAATTCTCCTGTTTAGAGCATATAATATTTTCTAGGTTAATATAGCTAACTTATTCCTTACAACTATCTATTTAATCTTTATCCTTACTTTCTAATAGACTAATTCAAAAGTTTTTAGTTAATAGTTAAGTTTTTTAAAACAATTATTTCACTTAGGTTATAGAAAAGACTATTTTCACTGAACTTTTTATAAAACATCATTTTGTATTTGACTGGTCCACTGTGCTTGTATGTGGCATTGGATGTTTCCGATTTTTATCTCCTTGGAGTTACACGAATCAACTTTAAAATTAGAATTAACATAGTTAAACAGCAGATTCTGTAACAAGTTGGCTTTTAGAACATCCTCTTCAGATCTGAAAAAAGAAATTGTTAAATTTGATGATGATTCAACGAAGAATGCAAAATTGAGTTTTTATGAAAAAATAAAAGCGATTAAATCTAGAATACTAGGCTGTTAGGGCGCTTCGCGCCAATCTTCTATTTAAATTGTAAACATATTCTTTTTGTTTACATTTAAAACAAAGAAGAAAAAAAAAATTTCGCGGATTTTTAAAAAAAAATTCGCGGAATTTCAAGAATTTAATTTTTTTTACAAAATTAAAAACCTTTAAAACACATTTTTTAAAATTTTTATCATTCGTTATAAACCTTCCCTGTGGTCACGTGATCTCCTACAAAAAAATTTGGCCCGATCGGTTCAGCCGTTTTGACGTTTATTGGATACAAACAAACAGACATACACCCATACAGACAAGCAAAATTTATATATAGATTTATCTTTAAAAGTTTTACTAATAAATATGGTCTTAGAAAAAAAGTAACAAAAAAAATTCTTAAAATTTTTTTTTTTTACCAACAAGAGATGGATTACTCTCACAAATAGGAAAAGAATTAATTAACCAAATTCGCTCCTTCAAAATGTACCCCTCCGGTTCTTTAAACCCAGGGTTATTTAAAGATAAACACTTTTATTGTTTTTACAAATTTCTGACGTTGTAACTCTTGTTAGTGTGTTCTAAATATTTCAAAAAACACTACACGTGGATTTAATGGTTCTGTCAATATTCCAGAAAGCTATGATTTTCGATCACAGTATCTCTTATAAAACATATTTTTTCAACCTTCTTTCTTAAATACTTTTTTGCCGGCATATACGTTTTAAATAAGTATCAAACGAACAAATCCGTAAGTTTAAAGATTGTTAAAATATAAACCAAAACCCGTATGATTTCAAATAGAAGAAACCGAATTATTCTAACTCTGGTTAGTCCGGGGTGACTAACTTTTCCAAAACTATGAGTTGGGGGAGGGGGGGGGGAGTTATATAAACAATTACCTTTTCTGTAAATTGTTCTCTATTGCCTCTCTTTTTCTTCTTCCATTCATTGGTGTAAACCCAACAGTATTTTGATTGTTTCCAGCATTATTATTATTTCCAATATTAATATTAGCAATATTATTGTTGTTATCATTGTTATTGTTGTTATTATTGTTGTTGTTGTTGTTTATATTATTCACTACATTAGCTGCAAGGGATACTGCGCCGATGGCAAAGTTGAGAAAAGTTAAGCTTGATATTCCTCTCTTTGCCGGGCATTTGCTCTAAATACAAACAAATAATAAGTTCTGCAGTAGATTTTTTTCATTTATATATAATGAAACTCTGGTTTATTTAAAGCAAGGCCGAGTTTTAGGAAAGTTGCACAGCATACAGACAACAGACTATAGACAGCCAACTGTACTGTATACCAACCGAATCAAAAATATGTCTGGAATCACAATTTATAGATGCTTTTACTTCACTTAAAAAGAACGTAAGAACATAGTCGTATTTTATTATACAATTTTTTTTCTATGGGTCTGAAAAAGAAATTTCAAGTGCAACCTCCATTATGTGACTTCCATAAGCAATTTCAAGGCCTTTTCACAACGGTACCCTTTTAAATATTGTCTCATCATTGATAATAATGTATCCCAGTTTTTAAACTAAAAAAACATTATTTTCAATTTTGAATTTTATTTAGACATAGTAGACCATGATGGAAATTGTCATGAATTAAACTAGAAAAGCATCATATTCATTGTTACTCGAAGATTGAGCTTTAAAGAATACTGTTAAAAATCTGACATTTGAAAAAATTAGAGGGTCAATCAAAATAAAGTCTACAGAAGAAGGGGAGGGGAGGGTGGTGGGGGAGGGGGTAAATATAGTGTTAATAAATACAAATCATAGAAAATTTAAACCTTTTTCTTTTTCTTTTTTTCCTCCGGTTTCCGATCATAAATAACATATCGTCTGCCTTGAAACTCTGAGTTTCTTTTCACTCTTCTATGATATTCTTTTATCAGAACTGTTTCAAGATCATTTAGATGCTCAATAGAGGGTAGTACTGGGCGATAAACTTCATTTCTATCAGATATCTTGATTCCGGAGTATTTGTTTACAAACAACAGGTTTTGGCTGCAGTACACCTCACTCAAAAATAGCAGAGCAAGGAGGATCATTTTTAGATTTTAAATTTTAGATTTTAGATTGTTCTCGAATAATTTTATTATTCTATTTACGAATCTTCTTCTTCTACTTCTTCTCTTTCTTCCCACAGGAACCATAATTGCGTTGCTGTTGTTGGAATTGTTGTTGTTGTTCTGCACACTGATGTTGTTTGTGTTATCATTATTATCATTGTTGTTGTTGTTGTTATTATTATTGTTATCATTCACGTTAGAAGCAATGTTAGCGGCTATACTTCCAGCAGCAAGTACAAAGTTCAGGAATGTAAAAGCACTAAAAAAGCACAAATTAGAATTGAAATTTTTATTGATGAACATTTAAAGATGCAACTTATAAACTAAATAAAAAACTGTACTTTCATTCTAAATAACAAATTTTTCATTGAATTGAATCCCTCGTGGGTTTGAATTTTCATTGATGGATACTGGACCGAATTAAAGGCAGTTAAGGAAAGTTGTGCATATCGACGGCTAAACGGGACACAAAATGAATTATCCCTTCTTGTAAGATTATAATAAGGTATTACCTAATAGAACTGCTAGGTTTACATTCTTCTTTAGCTGGAACTATTTGAGGTTTAAGGAAGGCGTAGTTGAGTTTATTCTTAGATTTAGAACTAGAGGCGGATGCAAAATATTCTCCAGGATCTGATTTATTCTGCTTTTTTCTCTTTCCCTGAAAAACAGGAATGAGCAATGCGGTGTTTGGTTTTTGAGACTGTTGGCAAAATTTCATTCAAAGTGATTACTTACGGAGAAATGTGCCCAATTAACAACGCTATCTTTTGATATTTTAATGATAAAGATATCCTAGTTTTTCTTTCTTGAATTGAATTATCTATACAACTGTGTTAGTGCAGCAGGGACAAAAAATAACGGACTTTTTCTTTTCTTAAGAAAGAAAAAAGGCTTTACTTCTCTCTTAGTGTTACTTAGTTCAAGGTTAAAAAGGTATCGTTGTGAATCGGGCTTTAAAGAGCTTTGGTAAACATTAATGATATGATATGATATAATATATATATATATTATACAACAACATTCTAACAATGATAACATACAATCTTAGTACCTTAGCAGCTCGTCTATTTCTAACCGTTGTAGTTGATGTAGGAACAACTAATTAAGTAAAAAGTAAAAAAAGATATAAATAACAAGTGTATTAAATAGTCCATTTTTTAACAGTTAGACAAGATGTGTTCAAGAATTAAATCTAAATTGTAAAATATAAAAGGAAGTTAAAAAATAACGTTTTTATAATTTATCTCTTTTCTTTTAAATTTTTGCCTAAAGTATAGTCTGATTCTTCGAGATAGGAAATATCTAATGTTTGAGTTTCAAAATGGTGGTCTGTATTTCCAAGATATTGGTCTATATTTGACAGATTGTGTTCTGTATTTCCAAGATGATGGTCTATATTACCAAAATGATGGTCTATATTTCCAATATTGTGGTCTATATTTCTATTGGGATTAAGTTCTTTATTTCTCAGATATCTTTCATCTTTTGATTCAAGTAAGAACTTGGTATTTAAGAACAACTGCGCATGTTCAGTATCAGATTCACTTCTAAGATTTTGAGAGTTGTCCCTCAGTGTCTCATTTGATATTGGATTAATTACCGAGAGGATAATTAGAACTAGATTTAATAACATCTCTCAGGACTCCAGGTCTTATTCATAGATATAAGAAAGGCACCTCGAACTAAAAATTATGAGAAAAAGGTTAGATAGGCAAAGACCAAATTTATTTAATTTGAGCTGCGTCGCTGAACTACTTACTGCCGGTTCAAATAATTGAACTACCGATTCAAAGTTAAAGATTAAAAAAAGGATTTTGATTCAGTGATTCATAATTGAACCGGCGTTACGCAGTTCAAATTTAATAATTTTGGTACAAGGTTAAATATGTAATAAATTTAATTTCAGACATTCGTATGATTAAAATAAAGATGTCAGAAGTTAAAAATAAAAGAACCAGCAAGTGAACTAATTAATCCTCATATATATGCAACCTTTGAACTTTTGTGTTATGAATTTCAGGATCAAGCTTTAATCTCCATCTTATGCAGGCCTAGGGATTAATTAAATTCCTCTTTGATATCGCATGGTAACTTTAAATGTGGATTCAAGCATTTATCCTTTTATTTGGAAGTGTTTAAATTTGATAACTTTTCAAAATACAGACTATTTGATCTGATAGAATTTATATTTTTATAAATAAAAAAATCAACGACATCATATGGGTTCAGGTTATAAAGATATAAGGATTAACAAATTTGAGCTTAATGCAAGTTATTATACTTTCTGTGTTGGGTTTATTGAAAGAAAAAATATAAGTATGAATTCTTGAATTTACAGACATTCTTTCTTGATAATCAAATTATTCACCTAAATGATGAATAAGATATTCGAAATTTGCATTCTTCGCTAAATTCAGAATACCAGAGCTGAGCACAATTTTGCAAATTTGCGAATATTTACACTCCTGGCCACACTGCAACAGCTGGTGGAAAAGAATAGTAGTTCGCACACCGATTATGCCCAAATTATCTGAACTTTTTCTGCAGATTTCGTCCACATATGTCCGGTTTTCAAAGTGGTGTTCATACTTAAGTTTTACAATCATATAATAAAATTAAAATAAAATGGCAAACATCACCATTAATTTGCTTTAAAACATACATGCAAAATAAAAGAAAAGAAAAAAATTGTATAAAGTTGAAACAAATCTTATTTCCCCGGATTTTGTAAATAGACGTAATTCCCTTTGACCCTCTATTTAACGAGTAAAATGCCCGATTTACAACGGACCCTTTAAACCTTTGCAAAAATGATTAAGTTTACCTAGTTTTCCTCTAAAAATTGATAATTTTCAATTGCGGTTCTCTGTATAAGTGACAATTGGGAATTTTTGCTGATGAAACAAGTAAGAAAATTGCTTGTTTTTTTATCATTTATTGACAAAAAATCGAGGAAGATTTCTTTGATGTAAGTTTAAAAAAGGACTTAGGTTACCCTTGTGAATCGGGTGTATTGATATTGGGTTTACAGTCCATTTGACTCTTCAAGCAATGATGCTATAAAATTTAATTTGATTATTATTGATTTCCCTGGATAGATCTTTTTCCAATCATTGGCAGAAACATGATTGCATTGTTACTGTTGGCATTGTTGTTGTTGTTTCCGATATTGATGTTGTTATCGTTGTTGTTATTCTCATTGTTATTGTTGTTATTGTTGTTGTTGTTGCTGTTCGTATTGGACACTTTTTTTAAATCAATTAAGAAAAACGGTTTCTCTTACAATCGGTTTATTAACTTAACGCTTGCCACTGGCAGCCTATAATTTTATAATTCTCATATCTTTGCCACCTGACTTTGAAGACTTTTGTTATTTCAAACTGTGCATTCCAACAGATATATTAGTCCAAGTTAAAAAAGATTTTTACCAATAGGTTAAAAAAAATATAAGGACAAGAGAGTTATAGTCTAAGGCAAATGTTTAGATCTTTTATAGATTTTTTTTGTTCTTTGAATTCTAGTTTATCATTTATATATATTCAAAAACCTAAGATGTTTGTAAGAAGTAAAATGTAAAACGTAAATTAATTAGTTTTTAGAAAGCTGATTCAATAAATTTACTGATTAATTGATTAATTGATTGCCTAGGTTGCCAGCCAGAGAGATGGAAGACGCTAGAAAGTTTAAGAATGTGAATGTGGAAACTGCCCCAGAACTTTCACAGTCGGGTTCCTGGAGGTCAATTCATTCTCAAGTTATATGTATTATCCATTGTCAACCAATATTAACCAATATCAACCAATATTAACCAATATTAACCAATGTCAACCAATATTAACCAATATTAACCAATGTCAACCAATATCAACTGATATTAACTAATATTAACCAATATCAACCAATATAACCAATAACAGCCAATATTCACCAATATCAACAGATAAAGACCAATATCAACCAATTTCAACAAATATAAACAATATCGACCACTCTTAACCAGTATTACCATACATTAACCAATATCATAACAAATAAATAAATTACAACCAATATCAACCAATATCAACCAATTCAACTAATTAATATCAACCAATTTAAGTCAATATAACATATCTATCAACATTATAAACTTTAATTGATAATATGTATCAAACAAAAGCACAAGATTTAGAAGCATGCGAATAGAATTTTAAAATAGTTTGTTTGAAAATAAGATTTCATGACTTCAAAATGTCTTTGTAAAGTTTGCATATAGAAGATGGAGTAAGGAAAGTATTGAGCTTTTGGTTTTAATATGCTTCTAATATTTTTAATATTCACCATCTATCAGTAGATTTAGAATGAATGTTACGTAACAAGTTGTAAAAGTTTTATATTTTTTAAAGATTGTAAAATTATTTAAACACTGAGTCGAGAATTGCCTGAGATTCTGATTCTTTATAAACTGTGTATTTTCTACCCTCTATATTCAAACAAGATTTTAATTTTAATATTTTTTTTACGTTTTGAATTTTGGTCGGGATTATTTAAACATTGCATTTGTAATGAAGAGGACAATATTAAAAAAAACTCGTCTTAAGAACAAATATTTTTTTATTCCTATATCTTTGAAACCTAGCATTTTAAATTTTGACTATTTAATTTAGCACACTATATAATAAGAAATTAACTTCTGTGTTGATATTCTTAATCTTGTAGGCTTAATATCGATATCCAATTTGTACATTTTTTGATTTGAGAACAAATAATTGATCCTTTCATAGAGCCCATTAAATCTTTTCGAAGAATTAGATAAATTCTTAGATTTGAATAAGATGGAAATCAATGCTTTATACCAAGATTCACAACACAAAAGGTCTGACATTAGGTTGTAGAGATAAATGGATTAGTTTATGGAGAGTAATTTTAAGTTCCCTTGTTGTTAGTAAAATCTTATTCCTGATGAGTCTTGTCTAAGTTGGGTCAATAGAACTGCTGCTTGAACGTGAAAAATAGTACACAGGGTCAAAACTTAATATTTTTACAGTCAGCAGTTTTGTATAAAAAAATTAAGTTGAATAAAAAATAAAAGTGCAAAAGTCGTAGAATTAAAATTAATTTTTTAAAAGAAAATTTCTGCATATTTTGACTGTAAAAAACCTTTCATCCCGTTATCATGGTTTACCGTGTACTTTTCTAAAAAAAATACAGTCTTCACCAGTAAAACGTAGACTTAAAGTCGTCTTTAACACGTATTATTATTAATTGTCGTTACAGATTTTGTAATGTGTAACTATAATAACAGCGTTCAGATTATTTACGTTATAAATGTCTACTTATAAAACAAATACGAATATCAAAACTGTTAGCTTTATTTATTAAAAAGAATTAAAGAAGGGGTCACGGAAGTTCGTAGTAAGATGACTCCACTGGAGACCACCGGAGGGAATTCTTTTTCTCTGGAGGGGTTTGAAAAAATGCTTTTAACAATTCAAAACTTTACGCAGGGTGATTTACATTCCACTGGAGGGAATCAGATGTCCTTCCTGGGGGGTTATAATTCCACTGGAGGGATTCAGTTATCCTTCCTAGGGGTTTATAATTCCACTGGAGGGATTCAGATATATTTCCTAGGTACTTATGATGCTACTGGAGGGATTCAGATATCCATCCTGGGGGTGTATTATTCCACTGGAGGGATTCAGATACTGAATCCCTCCAGTGGAAATATAAACCCCCAGGACGGATGTCTAAATCCTTCTAGTGGAGTTATATACCCCTAGGAAGGATAACTGAATCCCTCCAGTGGAATTATAACCCCCCAGGAAGGACATCTGAATCCCTCCAGTGGAATTATAAACCCCCAGGAAGGATATCTGAATCCCTCCAGTGGAATTATAAACCCCTTGGAAGGATAACTGAATCCCTCCAGTGGAATTATAAACCACTTGGAAGGATAACTGAATCCCTCCAGTGGAATTATAAACCCCCAGGAAGGACATCTGAATCCCTCCAGTGGAATGTAAATCACCCTGCGTAAAGTTTTAATTTGTAGAAAGCATTTTTGAAACCCCTCCAGTGAAAATAAAATCCCCCCGGTGGTCTCCAGTAGAATCGAATTCTTACTGCGAACTTCTTTGAGTCTTAAAGGAGACTATTTTAACTTCTTTACTGGCTATGAATGTAAATACTCGAGAAACCGTATAAAACTGAACCATGAGGAATGAACGCGGCAAAGTGCGCGAGAAAACTGCGCGTCATCCGGAGATTTAAACGGTAAATCAGGATTGAAATCAGGATAATAAGAGTCAACGGTATTCTTTCCTGGTTTAAAGAGACATTCTACGATTTTATCCCTAAACTTGTCAAGGGTGTATACAAAGGGGGCGGTGAAAAGGGGGGTGGGGGGGGGTCTTGGTGTACGAAACTAGCTTGAGCCTCATCCTTTGTACATAAAAGGAAGGTGCGCTTTCTAGAAATATAATTTCCCCTTTTTAAAAACTGAAGAACGGCAAAATAGTGTTTTTTTCCACCTAATAACAGTTTGGAATTATATTTTCTTATGGCCTTTAAATTTGATTTCATCATTGAACAAATAAAGTCGATCATATATGATATCATGATTATATAAAATACTAAATTCAATTTTAACTCACCGAAAAAGCGGTTAAGAGGTTGATATTATGTTGGATCCTTTTCCTTTCCTGTTATGTCTATATGATCTTTTGAGGCCACTTTCACTTTTTGTTATATCTTGTAAGTTCACTTTCAATGTGGTTCACTATTATTTTTTACATTTCACTCTTTTCCCTTTCACTTTTTCCAATTTTTTACCAATTTGTTAAGAATAAATTCTATTCTATTCTTTTCTATTCTATTCTATTCTATTATATTCTTTTCTATTCTTTTCTATTCTATTCTATTCTATTCTATTCTATTCTATTCTATTCTATTCTATTCTATTCTATTCTATTCTATTCTATTCTATTCTATTCTATTCTATTCTATTCTATGCTTCCCTGTCAGAAGGATGTAAAATTTCTCCAGCCACCTAAATCAGAATAATATCAATATTTTAAAAACTTTTTTCTTTAAAGCCTCCGCTAAGGTGAACTCCAAGCTAAGTTTTTAACCTCCAGCTATTTAATTAGGTTCTGGACAAAAAAAAAGACGAGATTCATTTCTAATACAGAACTTATCTTATAATTTTTTGACTATATTTTGCGCTTAAGCGGACTATTGGCACAATTTAAAGTGACCCTTACTGCAAAGATAGAAATGCCCAATTCACAACGGTACTCTTAAAAGCTATTCATTTTGAAAAACTAATGATTTTCAGTTGAGGTTTCTTTACAAAAATTTCTAATGTAGGAAAATTGAACATTTTTACCAGATAAATTGTTGTGAATCGGATATGCCACTTTTTGAATCAATTTCACTTGAAATTACGTTTACACTCTAGTCTACACTCTAGTCTACATTTTAGTTGAAAATTAGTTTATTTTGAAGGGAGTGTTGGTGAAAACTGAAAGTAGCAAGTATTATGAAATATTAACAATAAACGAATTCGTCGAAAATAAATAAATGATTATAGGTTGTAATATAAAAAAAATGAAAGTAAGTTTTTTGAAATATTAACTATAAACGAATTCGTCGAAAATAAATAAATGATTATAGGTTGTAATATAAAAAAAATGAAAGTAAGTTTTATGAAATATTAACTATAAGCGAATTCGTCGAAAATAAATAAATGATTATAATTTGTAATATAAAAAAATTAAAGTAAGTTTTATAAAATATTAACTATAAACGAATTCCCAGAAAAAAAATCAATGATTATAGGTTGTATGAATGATTTGTTTAAAATTAAATTAATTTTTTAACGATCCGAGTTGAATATTGCAGCTTTCTGAATTTGTATGGACGCTACGTTCTTCGGTATGATTCGATTTTAGCAATTTTCTCGTTGTAAACGGAACAGATGAAGTAAGATTAGAAGCAATCACCATCGAATATTTTTCGACGTAAGCCTATACCCGGCCATTCTATTTTTCGTGAACACTTGCTTTGAGTTATAAGCTTGATACGGATTTTTACAATATTTTTACTTTTAAAAAATATCTGAGCATTATCAATATTATCTTTCCTGAAGGTTTCCTTGCACCGTTAAACTTTCTTCTGAAACATCAGTTCCAATCCCAACCTTGCCTAAACAAATCAAAGTAAAAGGAATTGAATCTTTGCCACAAACTTTGATTTTCTAATTCCTGTATATTTGCAACCCAATAGCTCTAAGATATTGTAAACTAGAAATATATATGTAAATAAATAAGATCAAGTAATCCTAGTTTAAATTATGCAATTTGTACACAATCGTCAATCATGTTACAAAAAACACGGCTGTAGAGCCTGGATGGTCTGAAAAAAGTGGTCGATTTTCCCTCAGCCAGCGCAGCTTGAGGAGAAAGTACTGGGGTCGGCGCAACTTTTGTGAAGACTTTAATAGCATGAATTATTGTTATTTAAAAATACTGACCTTCTAAACAAAAAGTTTAATTTTTAAGAATTAGGCGCTTAGAGTTTCCAGGGCGTGTGTTTGATTGCCATTTTAGGTTAAAGGAATTGAGTCTTAGGAACAAAATCAGATATTTAAACCACAATATCTTTAAAACTCGATGTTGTAAACCTTTTTATATTTCAAACTCAGATTAATTGATTTAACAGAATTTATAGTTTGAAATATCTAAGGTATGCAACATTTGGTTCCAAAGATATAATGATTAGAAAATCAGAGTTTGTGGCAAAGACTCAATTCCTTTCAAGCTTTACAAAGGCTCAAATCGTCATATTTTTCTCAAAAATTTCTAGTGCTATTCATAATTCTAGATTTTACGGTATTTTGCACTCCTAATAAATAATTATATTTACAATTAAAATTTGGAAGATTTTTGTTGCTTTTTTTCAAACTTTTCGATTAAAATACTTTGGACTCACCCAAATGGTAGAGAGTATCTGCTCCCTTGATCCATCCTCCTTCACTAGTATCAGTCTCAAACAAACCAGGATTCGAGGCCCTTGATAATTATTTTTTATTTGTAAAGATACCATTTCTAGTTTTTTTATTTTTTTATAAACAATTTATTTCTGAAGTCAGATTACTGACTAGTTGAACTAGTTTTGGAAAGTTAAACTACTTTTCTAATTTGGCCAAGATTTAAGACAATCAGTTATAGTTCTAATAAACGTACCTAGTTAAAATACATTTTACTTTCTGTTTTATGATGCATTTAAATGATTTCTGATTTCATGATTCAATTTTCTTTGACCGAGATTACGTAGAGCAATGCACAATGCACATACATATTAGCATAACTAGTTCAATTAATATATTACAAAGACAAATTCATCTAAACCCGTAAATCTTTGTTTATCATTTCATTTATTTTTACTCATTTTATTTTAAGTCTTAAAAAGAATATTAATATTTTACAATTATTTTGTATTTACATTTCTCCCAGAATCTGCAGTACATTATTGCATGTAAATAAATATGTGGAGTATCCAATCCAATCCATGGTGTTTCTTTTTTTACAAGTACCGAACCTTTCTATACCCAATTCTTTTAATTTATATCCTTTCTTCGAAGGTTATATATAAAATTAAATACCTAAAAACTAGAAATACTTACCTAACTATTATTTTATCTGTTGCTAGAGCGACAAGGCAAACCGTTTGCCTGTTTTGAAGTACAGCTTCAATGCTTACAACAAGTTGGAAGTATCTAAACATTTTATTTGAGATTACACCATCTTTAGTTTATTTGAGATTACACCATCTTTAGTTTATTTGAGATTACACCATCACTAGATTATTTGAGATTACACCATCTTTAGTTTATTTGAGATTACACCATCTCTAGTTTATTTGAGATTACACTATCTTTAGTTTATTTGAGATTACACCATCTTTAGTTTATTTGAGATTACACTATCTTTAGTCTTTTTTTTGTGTCCTTAATCTCTTATAATAATAAAAAAGAATTCTCTGTAATTTCCAGAGGACCCTGCCCCATAGATATATAAATAAACATAGATAGCTTATGTGCACAAAATCACCAAGAATTGTACAGTCCGCGAACTCACACTTCTAGGGGTCAAAGTGTACTTCAATGATAAGCGGGGTGGTTTGGTGTTTTAATGGATTTCATAATAGAGTGTAAAATAATTCCGTAAATGGAACTATTTGAACAACAATATTTCACTGAGCAATATATCATATTGACGAGAGCTGAAGAAGGACATGAGAAGGACTAAACTAACTTAAATTTCTCTCTACAGAACTCATGTACACCACAAGTACTCAATGACATAAGAACAGCCAATTTTCACAACCGACCTAGTTAATCTATATAATAGGAATATCTTCAAAACTTCTCTGTACATTTATATCTTGCAAGATGAAAAATGTCGTCTTATGCGCAATCTATCTTTATCTATGCCCCGCCCCCATCTCCCCTCCCCTTACACCTTCTTCCCTTAGCCACTATCTCTACCTAGTTCTTAGTTACCTTTGATCTGGATTCGGTTTACCCCTTTTCCTCATATTGTTCAGTGTTGTCTCAGAGAAATGAAGACGACCTTGAACCATGTCATATATATATATATATATAAAACAACCACAAAAGATAAAAAAGTAAACAATGAAAAAAGAAAGGAAATAATTAATTCAAAGTTTTTCAAAAAAAGTAAAGGAAAAATTTACAAAAAAAAACCTAAAAATATAAAAATATTACAATGATTTCAAAAAAGAAAAACGTGTTAAAGTGGACATATAGAAAATACAATAAATATTAGAACATGCCTACAGAAACACGCATTGGTTGATCTCCCTTAAAGCTCAGCCGGATCGGAAAAAACTTTTTCCTTGATCTATCAGCTTGACTCTGCTCAATCTGAAATAGGCTTGAGTCAGTCAAAACTTTGACGACTGTTTCAAGTCAATTAGAAAATCAATAATAAAGTTAGTATGAGTAATAAACCTAGTTTCAAGTCAATTAGAAAATCAATAACAATATTAGTATGAGTAATAAACCTAGTTTCAAGTCAATTAGAAAATCAATAATAATGTTAGTATGAGTAATAAACCTAGTTTCAAGTCAATTAGAAAATCAATATTAAAGTTAGTATGAGTAATAAACCTAGTTTCAAGTCAATTAGAAAATCAATAATAAAGTTAGTATGAGTAATAAACCTAGTTTCAAGTCAATTAGAAAATCAAAAATAATGTTAGTATGAATAATAAACCTAGTTTCAAGTCAATTAGAAAATCAATAATAATGTTAGTATGAGTAATAAACCTAGTTTCAAGTCAATTAGAAAATCAATAATAAAGTTAGTATGAGTAATAAACTTAGTTTCGGCGCGATTTATTGCCAAAGGCTTTGATAGAAGATATTTTCAAAGGCTTTAAAAAAGACATTGCCAAAGTTATTGATAAAGATAGTGCCAGAGTTAAAAATGATGATACTGTAAAAATTATTATTTATGATATTGCCAACGTAATTGATAATAATACTGACAACACTCCCTCCCTACAAAGTTGCCCATTCGACCTTGAAAAAGTGCCCATCCGACCTATAAAATTTATTTATGAAATCTTGAAAAAAGCTTATGCATTAAAGTTAATTTAATAAACTGTTCTAAAAAGTGGAAAAAGTGGAACTAAAATCGCTATAATTTTGAATTTTCGAAAACCTTTATCTTTGGAACTTTATGTCGTAAAATATATTTCAAATCATGAATTCTGCACCAGAATAAACTAGAAATATCAATGGTTAACATCCTTCAGCTCGCAAAGGATAGTGTTTAGAACATTGAAACTTGTGGCAAGTGTTCAATTCCTTTAGACCTGGATAATGTGATCTGGGGCTTCCTTCTTTACTCCTGCAAAGTTTAATTGAAGAAATTGTATTTGTGAGTATCCAGTTCCAGTTTTCAACATGGAGTGCATTCCATCCTAGAAACACAGGATTAATATGTAATATAAAGGATAAGAACTAATTAAACTTGAGTCCGAAACTTTAATGAATAAATAAGCGTTTTTGTACATAAATATTGTATTGATAAAAAATAGGGTAGACAAACTGTTAAACATTAAAGTAGGTACTAGTTACTAGTTAGAACCAAGACAAGTTATTCTGAGAACTCTCCGCTTCAGACGGTGGATGTACTTTCCATTCGACTTCTCTGATAAACTTATTACTCGAGACTTCCCGTGTATCCTGCTCAACCTGGCAAGTTCTCCTATCTCCATGTTGCAGGAAAAAATCATTTGCTTAAATGCAGGCTTGCATCTGTGTCAGACTTGGCTTGGATATATGCCACGCTCTTGATGCGTGGTTTGTATTTGTCTTCACGGACAAAACTCGTTTGGCATGCGGCAGCTGTATTAACCGCCCTATATTTAATACAAATGAGCTGCTACATCAACGGAACTATCCCCACTTTAAACTACTAAACCCATGCTAGTTCCAGTAAGTATCCAACCAACTTTTTTGAATGTTTCATGACATGGTAGCTGAAAATGTATATGTTTACCTTTGTCACGTGACATGTCAGCTGAATATGTATTATTGTTAACGTTTGTCAACCAAATGTCAGCGGAATATATATTATTGTTTACCTTTGTCCATAACATGTCACCTGAATATATTATTGTTTACCTTTGTCACGTGACATGTCAGCTGAACATATATCTTTTATCCTCGCAACGTAACATGTCAGCTGAATATGTATTATTGTTAACGTTTGTCAACCAACATGTCAGCGGAATATATATTATTGTTTACCTTTGTCCATAACATGTCACCTGAATATATTTTTGTTTACCTTTTTCACGCAACATGTCAACTGAATATATATTATTGTTTAACTTTGTCACGTTACATGTCAGCTGAACATATATTTTTTATCCTCGCAACGTAACATGTCAGCTGAATATGTATTATTGTTAACGTTTGTCAACTAACATGTCAGCGGAATATATACTATTATTTACTTTTGTCCTGTAATATATCAGCGGAATATGTATTAGTGTTTACCTTTGTGATGTAACATGTCAGCTGAATATATATTAGTGTTTACCTTTGTCATGTAACATGTCAACTAAATATGTATAATTGTTTACCTTTGTCACGTATCAGGTCAACTAAATATGTATTATTGTTTTCATTTTTCACGTAGCATGTCAACTGAATATATATTAGTGTTTTTCTCTGTCACATAACATGGCAGCTGAATAGGTAAAATGTATTATTGCTTACCTTTGTCACGTGACATGTCAATTGAATATGTATTATTGTTTACCTTTGTCACGTGACATGTCAATTGAATATGTATTATTGTTTACATTTGTCAGGTAGTAAGTCAACTAAAAAGGTATAATTGCTTACCTTTGTCACGTGACAAGTCAGCTGAAAATGGTTCTTCTTCTGTGCAATAAAGGCCTCATCTGAGAAAAAAAAAACAGATTTTTTCCAATTGTAGTTTCTACTCTGAAGTGATTAGCGCATTTCTGCTGCAGGAAAACAATGATAAATGATCAAAATGAAATGGTTTATAGGCAAGAAAAACGACGACATATTTCATATTATTGATCAGAATAAGGTTTCAAAAGGTGCTGTTGTGAATTGGGAAAGCCATTTTTTAAATGTGGGTCTCTTGAAATTACAACGACAATCCCTTAAACTTCTGGAAATTTAAAAAATAATTTGATTTTAATTAATGTAAGAACGTTTTCAGATCTGGACATAAATTCAACTATTTCTTTCAGTTAAAGTTTAAACTACTATGAGTCTGGATTTAAGTGAAGCAAATCCAACTTAATTTCAGGTTCATAATTTTTAACTGGAGGCTCTAAATACTACCTGTGGCACTGTAATTAAACCCTTTGTCCGCTCTAACAGTTAACCCTGGGACACCTTCAGCCTAGATAAAGGGAAGGTTCACAAATAAAAAAAATCGAGTTTTTGAATCTAAATGGAGTTTTAATGAAAATAATCGTGTATACATCAATGTTAAGAAAAAAGTTTATTATTTGTTTATGGCATTTAGCATTGGTAATTTTTAAACATACACATTAAAAACTATTTTTAATTCTTTATATAATAAATAATTTTTTAAATGCTCTTTAAACACTTTTCTTGAGTATTTTTACGATAACTTTACAGTTGTTAAATCGAAATCATTAAACAAAATGAAATGACAAGTTTTTAAAAATTATCTACAGGATGTTCTTTAAAAATGTAACAATTGCATGCATGCTTCACATTTTAACTTATATTGTTACCTTATATTCATTATTACAAGTTGTTCCCCATGTTTCAGGCCGAAATGGGAAAAATGTGACAAGCCCTGAATCCCCCGCCTCACCCTCCGTTTTAAACTGCCCCCGGGTTGAGTCTAGTGGGGCGTGGACAGTGGCGGATCCTTCACCCTCCTCTTTCCGCCGTTTTCGGGGCGGAGCAACAACCGTCAATGGTACCCCAGGGACTAAAAAACAAATCAGATTTGATCAAATTTGTTTTGATTTTAAAGTTTTATTATATTTTTGTTGGGATCTGATATGGCCAAAGGTATTTTTTGCAATTTACAAGAAAGGACTTAACACCTGCCGCAAAGTCTAAATCTTATCTTTATATATCATTGCAACATAATGGTTACAAGCCTTTTATAATATAAACTTAAACTTTTTGATCTAACAGAATTTTCAGTTGAAACATCAAAGGTCTATATACCATTGGGTTGCATTTTGAGTGTTCAATTCCTTTGCAAAATTGTTGAATGTTATATTTTCAGTAATGTACATAGAGGAACTACTGTCAGGAGAAAAGAGATGGAATAAAATATATTTACCTGGTGATCGAATAGGCTCTTCTTTAACTTCATCTTCCAAACCCTGAATTGAAATAACAGATAACTATCAAATTTTTTCTAATTTGCGGATTAGATGAATATTTCTCTATTTATTTCATTTGAAAATTTCTTGCCTGTTTTTGAGGAAACCTATTTTCAAGCGTAACTGGTATATTCGGTCCTCGAGGTGGTCCAATGTATGCATTTCTTAAATCTGATGTTTGCTGATTTTTGTTGAGAACCGGTTTCATAAAACTATTTGGCGGATTACTACGCCCGATTAGACTGGAGTTTGTACTCTGCACCGGTATTGATTGATTGATTAAAGGAATAGGGTTTAATCTGGCGGGTAAACTGGTTCGTTTACCCCCCAAATATGGAAGGTTTAGATCCTGGTGTAAGCCCTCAGCCCCTGCAACCAATGATTTATCACTTTCTTAATTATAAACAAAAAAGCGTCTTTAACCAAGAAAAATTTAATAAAGAGACGTACATGACGACGTAATTTCAAGTGCAACCCTCTATTTAAAGAGTCACTTCTCCAATTAACAATTTTACCACAGTTGAAATAATCAATTTACCGATAGAAAAAGAATGATATCTCTTCGTTTCGTGATCAGTCCAATGTTTAAAGGCTACCATTGTGAATCAACTTGCAACTCTTAGATGGAGAGTCTACAATAAAATTAAGTTCATAATCTCGTTAAATCATAAGATTTACAGAAGAAGTAAATTCATGGTTTGATGATTTGATTTTATGTTCTTTTATTATGTCATTCTTCTCATAGAGGTTAAAAGAACTAAAGTTTCAAGTCTTATTTGCAAATATGTTTGTAACAAAATCAACTGCATGCATGCAGACTAAAGAATAGGACCCATAAAACTGTGGAATTGGAAGACGAACTTTAACAGTAGACCATAATTTTGCATATTCGTATTATATAACATAACACACAGAAATTATGTATTGTGCACAGAAACATTTAACTGCAAATGTTAATTTTAGGCAAATTTTAAAACTACTTGCTTTGTAACAGGATGGTGAAGACAAATATCGTTTTACATATCCATTGTTTTATGGGTATTACTGTAAATTATGATATATCATAATAAAAAGTGAAAAATTCCTTGCTGCAAAAGCAGAAGAGGTTTAGTGTAATCAATTTCTCGAAGGTCTCGACTAATCTGAACAATTATTAGTATTATCTTTATACAGGGGTACCAATATCAAAGGATAGTATTTAATGAAGATCTTAAATAAAAAAAATCATTTAGATATATATCATCCTTAAATATAACTTTAAACTATAAGGTTAGATTAATAAAGAAAAAAGTTTACAGCAGCTGGGACCAAAATAGTTAGAGCAATTAGGCTGAATTAATAGTCTATTTGATTAGATTTATGTTCTATAAATAATGATGTTATTAATTTAAATATTATATTTGACGGTTTATTTGTTAAAGATATTAATTATAAAACTGAAAAAGAAAGCCGTGAGCATTGTAATGATATAAACGCCGACCACTGTACCTGAGTATGCTGTAGACTGCTGGGTTGATGTTGTTGTGTATTGGAGGAGAAGGGGTAGTGAGATACCACACCTCCTGACACTTCCTGGGAGGAGAAAGGGGAGGGGGTGGAGAAAGTAGAGGGGGAGAGGGAGGAGGGGGTAGAGAGGGTTGAGGGTGATGATGAAGTGTGTAAAGGAGAAGGTGATGAGTGAAGAGGTGAAGTGATGTGTTCAGATCCAGAGTCAGGAGGACTTTCAGGGAGCACTCCTGTAAAGGTTTAATTAAGGATAAATTAAAGGTTTAGTTCTAGGTTTAATTACACGTTTAGTTTATAGGTTTAATTAAGGATTAATTACAGGTTTAACTATAGGTTTAATTATAGGTTTAATGATAGGTTTAATAAAAGATTTATTACAGGTTTAAATGCAGGCTTATCAACAGGTTTAATCTATAAAATTTATTTAAATCAATGAATTAAGTAAAAAAGAAAAATTAAATCATTAGATTAATATGAAAATTTATATTTAGATCAACCCCATACCCTTTCATTTATAAAAAATCAAAATCAAAAAATATTCGATAAAAACACGTTGATTTTATCAAAAAAATATATAAAATATTGACAATTTATATAAAACGAATATTATTCAGTTAAGAATAAATGAAACAATAAAAAAAAACATTTAACAAAAAACCTTGATTTTATCCAAATAAAAAGAAATGCATCAATTATGATTAGATACAAGTAAAAAACTAAAATGTTTTTAAAAAAACATTGATGATCTTATTATATTAATATTAATATTAATTTACCTGAACAAATTAGCCTAGTTAAAGGATCAGATTGCAAATCTGTGTTAGTTGTATCCAGCAAATATTCTGGTAATCTAGTGTAGTCTTCTTGCAACAGATCCTTTAAAAATAAAAATGGTAAATTTTTCTGTATCTGTATCTGTATCTGTATCTGTATCTGTATCTGTATCTGTATCTGTATACCTGAAGCTGTGATGTATTATCAGAAAGATAGTTTTGTAAGTCATCGATATCAAAACCTATAAAAGTGCACAGTTAAATTATAAAATTTCGCTTTGGGACACAGTAAGTCTAATAGTTCAACCAATTAAGCAAAATAACCATAATACTCGTCCAAACTACCTGATCTTTGAAAAATTAACAAACACACCTGCGTCTAAAGCATCGATTTCCATATTCGCGTCCAAATCTACTAAATCCATCTTTATTTAACTTTTTTCGCCGTTTCTTTAAAGTTGATATTTTTAAACCAAAAGAGACGATTTGCAAGAGCTTGAAGCTCGCCGTTGAAACATTTTATATCTAAAAAAAATATTAGAAAATGAGTTGAAAATGAAAATACATCATTAACATATTATTCTGAGATGGGAACCGAATTCAATGAATTTGAGAGAGAACGCTGAGCTAACTACCGCTTGTACAAATCCTGCATCAACGATTCAAAGTTAAGGATATGATCATGAGAATTTGAATCGGTTATTCAAGATTTAAACCGGTTGTTCGGCAACCTCTCAAAATCAAATTCATAAAATTCGGCCCTTGGTTAAGAATTAAGGGGGATATTTTACTAGGCTTCCTCATTTTTCTTGCTGTTAGCTTTAAATGTATATACAGTGTGGACCAAAAAAAGCAGGGATTAGCGTTTTTAAGCCCCAATAATATTTGTAAATGACTTGAAAAGTGCTCTGGTATAAAGTTCTTAATTTTGGATGGGGTCACGTAAAAGTAAAATTTTATCGTGCGATGCTTTTGTTTGGCGTAAGACTATGTAGTATGTTAGAAACCCTCTCGGTTTACCTACTTCGAAAACTAAACTTTTTTATTACTCTAGATTTATTTAAATATATTGCAGAGCGAAAAAAAAGGTTTAGAAATTATAATAATTAATGCATAATTAGATTACTATAATGTTCATGTTTGTGCATATTTCNCCTTAATTTATTTCTGTGTACGCCCTTGTGCAGAAAGATTACACCAATTCTATCAGGATGAATCATTCTTATCGGACTACAAACGCATAGAAGGCTTTTTTCATCAGAGTAAAACAGTAAAATTGCATTTACTTAGACCTTTTAACAAAAAAGAAAGAAATTTTGAGCTAATATCAGAAAAGAATTTGAATTTATGTGTTTTTAAACTTAGTTTTGTTGTTTGCGTTGTTGCAAGCTTACCACTTGCCTCTTAATTTTCATAAAATATGAATTGAACTCTTTTACAACCTCATGCTCAGTCATATCATACAGTTGAACTTGATATAATAAAAGTATTTATGAGTATCGTTTCAACCATCACTTTGTTTTCAACATTTCCTGAAGGTAACTACACACTTCTTTTAGATCATACCCTTATATATAGATAAATTAGATATGTACACTCTTTATGCTTTTTAACTTGACTGGCATAATTGATGACTAACAAACAAATATTAAAAGTTTTAAATTCAAAAAATGAAATATAGATTATCATAAACTGAAATATAGATTATCATAAACTAAGTTTATTTTTAATTTTTTAATGTAAATTCTTGGAGAAAGGGGAGGGGGGGGAGAAAGGAGAGGGGGAGAGGGAGGAGGGGGTAGAGAGGGTTGAGGGTGATGATGAAGTGTGTAAAGGAGAAGGTGATGAGTGAAGAGGTGAAGTGATGTGTTCAGATCCAGAGTCAGGAGGACTTTCAGGGAGCACTCCTGTAAAGGTTTAATTAAGGATAAATTAAAGGTTTAGTTCTAGGTTTAATTACACGTTTAGTTTATAGGTTTAATTAAGGATTAATTACAGGTTTAACTATAGGTTTAATTATAGGTTTAATGATAGGTTTAATAAAAGATTTATTACAGGTTTAAATGCAGGCTTATCAACAGGTTTAATCTATAAAATTTATTTAAATCAATGAATTAAGTAAAAAAGAAAAATTAAATCATTAGATTAATATGAAAATTTATATTTAGATCAACCCCATACCCTTTCATTTATAAAAAATCAAAATCAAAAAATATTCGATAAAAACACGTTGATTTTATCAAAAAAATATATAAAATATTGACAATTTATATAAAACGAATATTATTCAGTTAAGAATAAATGAAACAATAAAAAAAAACATTTAACAAAAAACCTTGATTTTATCCAAATAAAAAGAAATGCATCAATTATGATTAGATACAAGTAAAAAACTAAAATGTTTTTAAAAAAACATTGATGATCTTATTATATTAATATTAATATTAATTTACCTGAACAAATTAGCCTAGTTAAAGGATCAGATTGCAAATCTGTGTTAGTTGTATCCAGCAAATATTCTGGTAATCTAGTGTAGTCTTCTTGCAACAGATCCTTTAAAAATAAAAATGGTAAATTTTTCTGTATCTGTATCTGTATCTGTATCTGTATCTGTATCTGTATCTGTATCTGTATCTGTATCTGTATCTGTATCTGTATCTGTATCTGTATCT